CTCATCCATGAAGTAACAATAGTTCAAACCTCAGGGGTCTGCAATGAGGACAAGATGTGTTAAACTGTGTAAAGTGCTTTGAACAGAGTCTAGCACTTGTTAAATACTTGTGTAAGGATCACGTGCATGAAGAGGATAAATCTTCCATAGGGTGCTGGGGATTAGGTACATCGGTGCTAAGCAACGAGTGATCTGCAAATAAAAAGTATCTAATGATGCAGGAATATTCATCATAAAAGTGACGCATTTGAAGTTCAGAGAGGTTAAGTAATCTGTCCATGCTCACCCAGCTAGCATCTCAATCACTATGCTATAGCCCTTTCATCAAAACGGAAATGGAATATTTCTGCCTTAACGCAGAGCTTGATAGCCTCTCTCTTTGGGTTGGGCTGGACCAAGAAAGCCCCATCCTGTCCCGCCCCCACTCTCCCCCTATTCCTAAGGGCAGTCTTCTTCCCCACCTACATATCCGTGTGTATCTGCAGACACCTGTGCTTCACTGACACACACACACAGCTCTCTCACAAACCCAGACATGCACGTGTCGGTCCCAAGGGATGCTGGTACCCTCACCAATTTGCTGTTTTAAATATTAAGCTGTAATAAGCATTATCGTACATATGACTTTTTCATATTTTGACTAATTACTTTAGGGTAGATAGCCAGACATAGAGTTATTGGATCAAGGGATATGGACATTTTCTTGGCTCAATGCCAAATTGTTTTCTATAATAAAAGAACCATGCAAATTTATAATGCACTATTAATGTAGCATTGATATTATAATTCCATTTTAATGTACATAATTTGTAATTGCAGCCTTCATTTATATTTATAGTATTAAATTTAAAATGTATATATAAATATTCTAATAATTATAATTTTGGTAGGGGCGAGGTATTAATTCATATGGTGAAAGAGGTACCTTTCTTTATTAGTGATATTAATATATCCCCCCCTAATTTTAAAGTTTGCATTTATTCTTTATCTATAAATTGTGTCTTGTGTCATTTACACATTTACCTATAAAGCCACAATATGATATTTCCCTGCTGGTGGTTAATGAGAGAATTATGGGAAAGTGCCGCACATTCTCCAAACGCACGCATTGTTTCCCTCGCTTATTTACTATGAAGACCTTTTCTTTGGTGACTCCAACAGTTTGAGAAAGTACAGTTGTAAACCTTGTTCTAGATTTTAAAAGGGGGAAACAGGAATCCAGCACCTTAGGAACTTGCTGCCACTCCTTACCTACATCATAAAGGTCCCTCACCCTTGCCCACACTGACCCATTCTTTACTCCTCACTTCTTTGTGCCAGAAAGGCAGAAGCCTGGCCCTCTGGGGATTCCACCAGCCCTCCCCTACTGTTCTCTCCAACCTGAGGCAAACTTTCTCCTACTTCTCGGAAGGGCTGCGTGAGCCTGCTCCTTGGAATCAGAACCATTTTCAGGCTCTAGAACTGTGAACTCGCAGGTGGCTTTTGACTTCTTCTTGGACCCCTAGAGTTGGCATTGTGCCTAGAACATCTCAGGTGCTCGGCCCCGACTGAACTGCACTGTCTCCTAGAGAAGCCTAACTGCCCGCGTCTGTTAACATCCCAGAGGCTTCTGCTGTCATTCTTCCTTCTGCTCTCAGATAAATCCACCTCTTCATTGGGCAAAGGTCCCCACTCCTTACCTGTCCTTACGGGTTTGGGACTACAACTTTTCCTTTCTGACAGAGCATTTTCACATATCCCCTCTCCTTCTAATACCTTTCATTTTACCCTCTCCTCTAATTTGTCAAACTTGGCCTTTTTTCTTTTTACAGCGTAAGCAGGAATATTTTATTGTTAACATTATTTTACTGCAAATAAAATTATGTGTTCTTTTATTTATATAAGGCCAAGAATCTAAATCTTAGTAAATTAACATACTTACTAATTTGAATACCATACAATTCTCATTCATGAAAACCTCCTTTGAATGGATGGAACCACTTGGAGATCTATCTTTGGCTAACAAATGTATCAGTATTATGTCCCAATAATTTAACAATAAAATCTTAAATTTATTTCATGCGATTATCATGACCAATGGGAAACCTTTATATATCTGTTACAATAAGCATGAAATAATGTAACTTTTTTCTCCTTTTTCACATATATAGTCACCAGATGTGGAGTACAGTGTGGGGAGTGGAGTCAATGGAATTGTAATAGATATGTATGATGTCGCGGGGCGGGGGGCGGGGGTGGAGAGGAGGGCAGTGGATTGGGGGAAAGAGGTTGTCACTTTGTAAGGGGGAAAAAGTATAAGTATTGCACTGTTTTGTACACCGGAAACTAACAAAAAAATGAGAAAAAAAACCCCAGCACCTTTGCCTTTCGTCTACTCACTTGTAAGTAACTTTCAGTGGGAAATCTTATGTGTAGTAGAACTGACTTAAGTTTTACCCCACAGTATCTACTACACAGTTTGGATTCAGTCTGTCTTCAAGTCCCCTATTTAAAACTTTGCCTTTTTAAAACATGCAAACATGTGCCTATGGAAACACAACAACTTTTAGTTTACCCTGCTTCAGAAATGTAGTGTGACTTCTTTTTATAGTCCAAATACAAAAGTTCTACACCCACCCACTGCATCCAACTCCCCGTTATGAAGGTGGTGTTAGAGGGAAGGACACAGAGAGAGTGCCTGCCGCTCCCAGCTTCTCAAAAAAGTCAAGGTAGTGTTCCAGCTGAAAAGAACAACCATTTCATTATATCTTGCAATTTTATGGTCAGGAATTTGGGCAGGGCTCAGCTGGCTGATTCTTCTGCCCTACTGACATTGATGGAGATTACTTGGTGGTAGTCAGCTGGAAGGTGCAAACAGCCCAAGACAACGGTACTGCCTTGATGGGAGGGCTGGGAGTACCTACATGGGGCCCCTCTAGCATGATGGCCTTCAGAGAAGTTAGATTTCTTACATGGTGGCCCAGGGCTCCACGTTTCAGGGAATAAGACGGAAGCTGAAAGGCTTTTTACGATCCAGCCTCAGAAACTACACTGCATCAGTTCTGTCTTATTCTACCGTTAAAAGCATTCCCAAGACTGCCTAGATGCAAGGGGAGACACATGGACCTGCACCTTCCGATGGGAGCTATTTGGGATTATGCTTTAAAACCACTTCAGATGGAACCACTGTGAAGGACTCAGGGGTAGGATTCAGAGTTAACAAGGAATGATGACCCCTCTCATACATGTAGTCATACTATACGGAACATTCTCAATCTCTGCTTAGCCATCAGCCTCACAACCTAACGATTCCACCATTGTTGCTCTCCCTAAGATCACCAATAATGTTAGAGCCAAATCCAAAAGGCTTTTTCTTGTTTTGATCCCCTTTTGACACTTCTTGCAAACTTCACACTAGTCAATCCTTTCTTAATTATGTCCTCAAACACCACGGCTCTATGGCCATACCTGCTGTTCCTTTTCCTAACTTTACCTCTGAAAAGGCCATCCTTCCCAGACCATAACTCTGGGGAGCCCTGTGGCTTGGCCCTTGACCCCTTTCCTTGTCCCACTGTTCTCACTCCCATGTAGAGTGTCCCCTCTTTCATCACATCCACATGGTTGACAACCAAATTCCTCCCAGCTCTGATTTCTCGCTCTCTTAACATGCCACATGCAGTTTCCTATGGTGGCTCTCTGCCTATCAGAAACACCCTTCTCTTTAATAATTCCAAGACTTCAAAAGCTAACCTCTAACATCACCTCCCCTTACCAACTGCCTCATGACAATCAGTTGGCACCATCAATGCGCCTCCTGTCCATGTTCTTAAGAGTCATCTCTGAAAAATCATTGACTCCATATCCAGCCATTCTTAAAGCTGTACTGTCTACAGATTAAACATGACACGTATGTGACAGCACTTTACAATCTGGAAAGTACTATGCAGGCATGAGGTGGTAACATGAGTCCACATTCGGAGTAGATGTCCAGGGTCTGCTCTCGATGGGCCTCCCTGGGCGTCTGCAGCTTCATCTTACCAGCCTCTTACCCTGCCCCCTCCTTCTCCATCATCCCAATTCCCAGTCAGGCCAACAGGATGCCCTCCCATATATTCACGCTGCTTGCCCTACCATCTCTGCCTTCTCACATGCCACTTACTTGCCTTAAGTGCGCTTTATGTCAACAGGTTTTTGCAGAGAAAGCACCACAGGTTCCCCCTCCTGTGAATCAGAGCCTATGCGACCTTTGGCGTTGACCTCCTCACCGCCCCTCACGCCTGATGTCCCGCAGAAGCCCCTCAGGACTGGCTTCTCTCACGGGACACACAACCGGCTCTTAGAGAGGATCTGGAAATTCATCTCTAGGGGCTTCAGATCTTATTTTCCCTGCTCCTGGACCAAAAGAATAAACAAATGCTCAAAATAAACTTGTGCACAAGGACAGAAGTAGGACAAGCTCTTCCCACAACAAACGCACGTACAATGTTCATTACTACAGGTAAATTAGCGGCAGGATTTCTCACCTGGGATGGCTCTGGAACCACATTCTACTCAGATGGAAGCAAAAGCAAGACTACAGATGATGGGTTCAGGGTCACATAGTAGGCCAGCAGCAGAAGTGCACTTGGAACCTTTCCACTGCACACCCCTAAGAAATTAAAAGGAGCAAGTGACATCTCACTTTACGCAGCACTTGAGCCATTAACTGTTTACTTTCTAGTATGTCTATTATATCATTTGACACCCTCCTACAAAAAGTGCTTAAACGAAACATTTTATTTCTTTTAAACGTTCAGAGTGTTAAGGATAAGTTAAGAGGAAAAGACAGGGAAGCCTAGACGGTGCCTGTAGAGTTCCCGGGAATTCAGAGGATTGAGGGGAGTGCCCCACTCTTGGCTCCCAGAGCTCCGGCTCCGCAGGACCTTGTACTAGGATCACTGAGATCCAGCTTGTTTCGGGGAGCCCCCAGCTGCTCCCCTACCAGCCCAGGGCACTCAGCCAGAGGGTGACAGAAGCCTGGGGACAGGGTGCCAGCTGGGCTGCAGTGCGCCCTCCCGGATGCCCCACGCGCAGGGCACAGACCGCCAGGTACAAACTGAGTGCTTTGAGGGTGAAAGGCGGCTCCCCGAGCTCCAGCAAGGATGCGGGTGGGAGGGGCCCAGAGCCCAGGGCACGCCCCGGCAGGTCCCATGCCAGGGTCTTCCGAGACCTGGCGTCGCTCACCCTGAGCGGCCGGCTACATAAGTCCCCCGCTGAAGGCAGAGCGCACGGAGCTGCCACCTGGGCGCAGTGAGTGCTCCTGGTACAAGGGTGGGTGGGGAGGGAGCCGCCGCCCGACTCGGCCCCAGTCTTGTGCTCTTCCTGCCCCCTCTGCCTTCAGACGGCTTCCCAGAGGGCAGAGAGTTCGGGTTTGCTGCCCCGGAGGACAGAAGTAAAGGGACAGGGAGAACGGTCACCTTTGGGCTGCAGCCCTTCTCTCCAGAGCCGGCGCCTCGCTCCGCAACCTGCGTGAGGATGGTGAGCCCGACAGCCTCGGACGTGCCCCCGACCACGGCGGTCAAGCTCGCCTCAGCCGGAGTGGCGGCCTGTGTGGCGGATGTCATCACCTTCCCGCTGGACACGGCCAAAGTCCGGCTACAGGTAGCGAGCGGGAAGGGGATGGGGAGCATCTCAGGGCAGACAGGGGACGCCTGTGGTGTGCGCCCCTTTGATTCTGGCGTTGGTTTAACCACCCTTTCCCAGGTAGGTAGGTAGGGCAGGTGGCCACCTTAAAAGCCAGTTTGGTCTTGTCACAGGACTGGATGCACTAGGGTTGGAAACTGGAACTTTCCTGAGCTGAACTGAAGAACCGCAAGGGCCACGGAGGATGGTTGACCATGACTACTGTCAAACATCCACAAGTTGGGGCGCGCTGTGTTCCATGAGCTAAGATCAGCCTCTCTGAACTTTACAAGGCCGCTTTCTCCTTCCTTCTTTGATTAAGTGGGGACACCTTCCCATCCTACTGCCTTAGGGGTTCTGGAGAGCTCTTGGGGGAGAGGGGAGGCTTCAAAATGTGCACTGTAGCTAATCTCTCTCCATATATATGTACAGATAGACAGACAGACAGATGAGATGTTGCTGTAAGGGAAAAGGAACTGAAAATGGGAACATAGTGGGGAAAATCTTGGGTTAATGTTTCTCCATAAAGGACCTGTTCAGTTTTTGTTTCTTCCCCACCAGGTCGGACCCCTCAATTTTCCCTTCCCTCCAACCTGTACCTTTCTCATTTCCAGATTCAAGGTGAATGCCGGACCCCCACTGCCATTAGGTATAAAGGCGTCCTGGGAACAATCATCACTCTGGCCAAAACAGAAGGGCCGGTGAAGCTCTACAGTGGGCTGCCTGCCGGCCTCCAGCGACAGATAAGCTCTGCCTCTCTCAGGATTGGGCTGTATGACACCGCCCAGGAGTTCTTCACCACAGGGAAAGAAAGTAAGCTAGAAGGGTTCCTCAGAGGGGCAGGCAACCAGAGACGTGCCCTGGGCCCAGTCTGTTCAAAAACTGTTACACACAGGGTAGAAGTCGTCATAATAACTTGGCAAGCAAACATCAATATTGGAACTGAAGCCTCCTCCCAGTTGGGAAATAAAGGGGGGGGGGAAGCTAAATACAGGAAAGCCATGCTTTAAATAGGCATTGTGTTTTCTTTGTCCTTGCAAGTCATCATTTTTAAAAAATTTTAGTCAGCTTTGAAGTCTTCCAGCCCTACTACAATTTAGCACATATTTAGTACATGATCAACACATGCACAAGCATAAAGATGCAATAATACTAACCACTAAAATAAAAGACATATGGATGCATTCTGGGTCCTGACTTCTTTTTTCTTGATTTTTTTCCCCTCTGCATTGCACCAGGTAGTTTAGGAAGCAAGATCTCAGCTGGCCTAGCGACTGGAGGTGTGGCAGTATTCATTGGGCAGCCCACAGAGGTCGTGAAGGTCAGACTTCAAGCACAGAGCCATCTACATGGTCTCAAACCTCGCTACACTGGGACTTACAACGCGTACAGAATTATCGCAACAACTGAAGGATTGACGGGTCTTTGGAAAGGTAACTTCACAGATTTAAAAATCATGAAGACACATATAGCCAATTAGTGCCTTATCATATCATGGGGCTAATAAACATTTTCTCCCCCAGGAACGACTCCCAATCTGGCAAGAAGTGTCATCATCAATTGTACAGAGCTAGTAACGTACGACCTAATGAAGGAGGCCCTTGTGAAAAACCAACTGCTAGCAGGTAACTTCCTATGTCGTACAACAAATAGGTCTGCACACTGACAAGCTCATCTTGGAGCTTTTCTAGCAACGTTATTCTGAATCCCTCAATTGTAATAGTTTTCTCTTTTAAGAAATTAAGTAATTTTGAACATTAGATATAACTTTTGAGAAGCAGAAAAAGACCAAACCCGTAAGTTTTAGAAGTTCTGCTGTAATATTTTTTTTAAAACAAAATGCAACTGTATTCTTACATCAGCATTATTCTCATTTAGTACAGATATACAGGACCTTGGTTAGCATGTTATTCTTTATATAGCAGGACTCAGGAGGTGAGTCCATCCTGCACTGTATCCAAACGAGCTAGTTATTATAATGAGTTATCAGTGGTTTCATCCCGATGTAGCACCATCAGGCAGGTTCCTAAAAGCAATATTCTACCAGGTTCCAGGGACACTGAAATGCTCCATGGACAATGACTTTAATAAAAAAGTATGAGATGCCTACGCATCGGGCATCACGCCTTACCAGACAGGCACAGAGAAAACTGATGGGACATTTTCCTAAAACCAACCCACTGTGCCTGGTACTATTTGCTGTCCTTTTCTAGTGGAAGTATAATCATATTCTATTTTATTAATCTAGAAGACACCTACGTGGACCTCCTGTTATCAACACTTTAAAAGGACCTGATGGATAATTAAAAATTGGCAGCTCCTTTCAAAAGTCTGACACTGACCTGTTTCATTGACCCGTTTTAGATGATGTGCCCTGTCACATTGTGTCAGCTGTTATCGCCGGATTTTGCACAACGGTTCTGTCCTCGCCAGTGGATGTGGTGAAAACCAGATTTGTTAATTCTGCACCAGGACAGTACCCGAGTGTGCCCAACTGCGCGATGACAATGCTCACCAAGGAAGGCCCATCGGCTTTCTTCAAGGGGTAGGCTATGACTGTCCGATTCTCTAACGCTGTGCTCAGGGTAGCTGTGTGCTTTGGGACAAGTAATAGCTAAATGACTGACACGCATTGGCCAGCCTCAGCATGTGCAGGAGACAGTGTTCCCTTTTCCTTGTCATAAACTTCTCCAATCCGCCAATTCCACTGTGCAGGGAAATTATATTTTCTCATTCAAAATCAGTGACTTCTCCCTTGGTCCCAATCTATCAGAAATGTACACAGTATTTTGCCTTCTCCAGGCAGCAGAACTATAAAGTGAAGGGAAAGCATAATAGAGGACTATGAGAAAACATAGTTTTCTATTTTAATGGACTCAGTTTTTTAGATTGCATTAAGCAAAACTAGAGCAAAATCATTGCCATTGATCTAGAAAAGTGGTGCAGAAAATGATGTGGTTTGATTATTACTATGCCAGGTACTATTTGCCATCTTTTTCTAGTGCAAGTATAATCTTCATTATTATATTTATTTATGAGACATCCATGTTGTATAGTACAGAAATTAGTATTATATAGATCACATTTTCCCATAAAGCAATATTATATTATATTGGAAAGTACCTTTCTAAGAAAATATAGCATCAACTAATTTATGTATGTACTCAACAAGGATTACACTAGTGGTCAAGTAACAAAACTCTATAACCCTTGAAAATTGTAAGGCAATGTCTCAAATCTTATAAGCATAAATGCACCATGCACATTACACAAAAGGTTCCAATTTATCACAATCTGTATTTATGATACATTAATAAAAATGAAATATATTGTAAAATTAAAATGGATATGTTATTAACCATTAGCCATTTAATAACTTTTTTCAAATTTAAAACCTTTTGGGGGGAATATGTGCTACAACATTATGATAAATACAACGAGCCAGATACAGGAAGACAAATATTGCATGATTCTACTTACCTAGGGTACCTACAGTAGTTAAATTCATAGAGACAGAAAGTGGAATGGTGGTTACCAGGGGCCGAGGGGAGGGTGTAGTGGGGACTTATTTTTTAATGGTACAGAGCTTCTGTTTGGGACGACAAAAAGATTTTGGAGATGGATAATGGTGAATGGTTACACACAAGGTGTATATATTTAATGCAACTGAGTTATACACTTTAAATGGTTAACATGGTTAATTTATGTTATGTGTATTTTACCATAATTAAAACACACACACCCAGGAGTCAGGAGATATATGTTAAGAGACCTCCCCCTGCAAAAAAAATAAATCTTTGGGGAAGATTTTTATAGGACAGATCTCTTAAAAAATATGTATCCACGGCAGATTTAACTGATGGCATCTTTTTCTCCTGGAATATTTTATTGCTGCAAATAGGCATTCAAAATCAATCATTTGAAGGTGTTAACCGTCTGCCTTCTCAGACTACCGGAGCTCTGATAATAAACGCTTATTCTATGATCCCCGCCCTACCCTCCCCCGCAAAAATTAAAAAATCTATCAACCAATCATTTGGCCTGCATAGTTTGGGAGAATTCAAAACAAAACAAACAAACAAAAACAGTAATAAAAACATCAAAAAACAAACCAAAAATACACTTAGATTCTTGGATAGTGTTTTTAAGGACAAGAACTACCAAGATCTAGTAGCACTAATTTCTTGACTCTGGAAAATGGTCTACCTATTCACCACTTCTTTACTTCTTTTACTTCCTCTCTTAATAGTTTCCTACTTCCCAATCAGAAAGCAAGGCAAAGCAAACAAAACAGAAATGTCCCCCCCTATCAAAAAAAGAAGGAAAGGCTCTGAAAAAGGAGACCAGCTTTGGCTGGGCGGGAACGTGCTCACCTGGGTTTTGTTTTGAAGCAGTATAGGACATCTCGATGAAACTGTACTCTAGATAGAGGTGGGAAAGATGAAGAACAGGTACTTGTACGCATCTTCACTGGAGAAGGGCAGCAAAATGAAAAGCATAAATTGCCTGCGTTATATAGAATAGCTTTAAGAATTGCAAGGAAACTAATGGAACGGTGATATATGCTTTCCTAGATTAGTGCCTTCCTTCCTGCGACTCGGGTCCTGGAACGTCATTATGTTTGTGTGCTTTGAGCAGCTGAAGCGAGAGCTGATGAAGTCAAGGCAGACCATGGACTGCGCCACATGATCCCCCTCAGGAAAAGGCTGTGACATACCAGTGGGAGTCTGCTCACTGGGGAATTAAAAACAAACAGAAGAACTATTCACTTTATCTCACCCTAAAAACATAAAGGAATTCTGGTAGAGTAGAGATTTTTGGACTTTTCTTCTTCAAAGGAAAACTAATACCTATTATTTCTTGTGACTTTTATTTTCAGTGTTTTAAGGAGGGGAAAGCAAGACATTCAGGATACACTCTGGCAAATGTAACGGCCGGGGAAGTTACTGCATTTTGTGCATGTGTTCCGGGGGGGGGGGGGGGGGGTGGTGTTGGTGTTTATACCTGAATATGAAAAACTTTTAACATGTCTTAATTATAATTCAAACTGGTAGAAAAGGAAAACTGAGTGAAATGCACTTTATAAATACTTAAAAATGAGTTCTCAAAGATTACTGTTTTATTTTTATTTACTAACCCAGTTGCCACTTAATATATTCAATAAAGTATTGCTAATACCTTTTAAAGTTTGTCTTTTTTGGATCTATAGTGAATGTAAAAGTTGAAGTTCACCTAGAGTATAAAATTGCCCAATAGCAAGTGAGGGTCGTTAGAATCAATAGGCATAAACTTACTTGAAATGTTGTTAGTATAGATTTTTAATTTTTACTCTATATTTTATGGCATCTATAACAAGTTCTAATTTAAGATACTATGTTCATTGGGGCATTGTTGTTATTAGAATCATGGTGTCTATCCTGAAGTCAGTTTAGAGCTAGATGGTACCTTTGGTTAGACAGAAGAACAGACTGAGGTGAAAATGAATCTTCAGGACCTCTTTCCAGCAAAGGCAAATTTGTCATTAACACCCGCAGGCACCTTTTTCATTCCTACAAACCAAGTGCAGAAGAAATCAGGAAAGAATAAACAAGAAGCGTACAAGCCAAAAACAAGGAATGGCAGCAGAAGGGCCAGGAAGCCCAAATTGTTCTTATCCAATAACATCTTAAATAGGTAATTAGTGGAGGAGTTAAAATCACATACAGAAAAATTCTGTATATTCTGATCTATTGGGTTGTTGGAAAAGTTATGACGCATTTTTGCAACGAAAAACAAAAAAATACATCATGACTTTTCCGACAACCCAATAGTATATTATATAGAAACATGATTAAAGGATTAAATAAGAGAAGCACTATTTCTCGAACATAAATGACTTAAATAAGGGATGGGGAGGATGTGAAGAGAGAAGTAGTAACACAAAGGCTTATAAAAGTTTCAACATGTTTTTTATTTGCTCACAACATTCCAAACAAAATGACATCACGTTTCAACTATTGCTTTTACATAAGAAGTTGATTGCTTTATCCAAACTAGACAAAAATCTATTTCTTTAAGTTGCCAACCAGCACTTTTTCCCCCAGGGAAAGCTACTGCTTAAATATTTTTTGAATAATTTAACAGAAACATAGAACCGCCCTATCATATTAATGTAGTAGTTGGGCCTTACCTGCATTACATTTAAATTTTTTCTTGTCAAAAGCTGAAGCCAGAAAAAAAAAAGTTCAGTCATGATTTCTCTCAGATTCTTTTTAATTTTCATTAAAAAGCTGCTGATGCAGACAGGTTCCTAAATGTGAAAATGGAAATTAAGCCTGCCCTGTTCAGAGAGAAGGTGGATAGACTGTTCATCCTGGGGAAACAGCTGTTGGTCCCCTATCATTAATTCCAGAAGGGAAAGAAACGTTATTGCTCTCCAAGCCAAACCTGTCTCTTCTGTGCCATGATAACGTGTAATCTTTTCTGCTCTGGCCACGAGCATTCCACTTTTCACACTCATGTAATGCTTCTCCTTTGAGCAAATCTTTGAACAAGTTCTAGTTCACTAAACACAAAGGGGAGAAACAGTACATAAGCTATGAACACTGGAATAAGAATGAGGAATACATTTGTTTTCACATAGAAAAATACATACAAATCCAAGTAGCTCTTAGAATAGAAAAAAATCAGGATGGGTATTTTCAAGGAAAAGATTCTGTTTTCTACATTGTAAATGGTGCTAGTAAGACACTGATTTTTATATCTAACGCTATCACCATATTTACATCCAAAGAGAGGTTGGTCTAGGTTCACTGATATCTCCTGATTTCTCCCGTTCTTTAAAGATTGTCTTTCAGAACATACTTGAACTATGACCACTGTAATGATATTTTTAGACTATTCTTGTGACTGGCACACTCTCTTCAACCTGGCACATACAAAAATTCATTTCAACACTGATTCACTTTTTTGATATCAAAACAAACATAATTTTCCTGCTACTTCAGTTCTATCACTACTTTGGTAGTTTATTATTATAGAAACAGGTAAAGATTCTACATACGGATTTTAAGGCTACACAAAATTCTAACACACATATGATGAAAGCAAGGAAAAGTAAGAAGGCAGACACAATTATTCTATTTTTCTTTTCATCTATGTCACTATCACATAAAAGTCAGAAGGCTCATGTTATGTTCTCGTGTAAAACTGGTGACACTTAGCTTGGCTTCCAGATTTTCAAACCTTAGAATGTGTTGGTAGCTTTTAGACCAATTCCCTATGGAACTATCTGAAATGGTACTGATTATTTTAAAGAAAAACAGACAATATCTATATTGTACAAACAGAGGTGGATTTAAAGAACATATTATTGAGCAAACTTTCTAGTGATATATTAAAAATATTATTGAAAAGTTTTCCTCCCTAGAAAGTGAAAAACTTAATTACTTAAAAGGTTTCCCTTTCTATACTTGAATCATTCTTCTATTAAGCATACTGACAAAGATTTAAATCAATTCAAGATCTCAGCTGTTGAAAGATTAAAATATAAAGTATTTTCAGCACGAAAATTAAAAGACTAACAGAATTGCTTTCCATGTAATAGTAAACACCTTGATAAAACGAACTTTAATGGTTAACACTTGATCCTTATCAGTATTTTGCTATATCTCAGAACTCTAGCTGGATAATAAAGCACTGAAAACATTTAAAAAAGTTAAGTTAAGATACTCCCAAGGTTGAGAACTCCCTTACAAGAAACCAATTTTTAAATTCCTGAAATACTGAATAGCTAAACCACTACTATTATAATAAATTGAACACAATTTAAAACTAGTTTTATTTTATTAAGGGAAATCCTAATTTTAATGCATGCAGCTTTAATGTATGTGCCATACAGCACAGCATCTGTTATTTTCCAAGCGGTTATTTTTTACCACTCTTCTCTTTGTCAAGTTTGGAAAGGTTTGTCAATAGAAATGAACAAAGATTTGAAAGTCTCAGGTCTTGATATGTCATGTAAGAGCCAGTGCTTCAACACTTGATATATACCATGTTGAAAGATGTACCAGCTACATCATGTTTTAGATTAAATTTTGTCTTTAACAGGCTGGTTTCTGTAGGATTTAAAGAGAACTCAGTAATCAGATGAACCTATCTTCAAACTGTTAGTTTTGCTGAGTACAAATGTCTAAAACACACAAAAAAGAATCCGTTCCCATTAGAATCGCATCACTATGCAATTCTTGACACATTTGCTGCCCTCCTGAGATTTTAGGAGACTAAAGCTATACAAAACGCACAGTCACCATCCTCAGGCTACTGCAGACTCCCACAGATTGTAACTCAAAGAATACCTATCAAGTCCATAGATCATTATCTAGAAACACCAGGAGTCAAAGCAAAGAGAAGCAAGGGTTAACAGCAAGTAAATTAAGCCAACGATGTTTTAACTGAGATTTTTAAAAAAGCTTTAAGTTTTCCTCTTGTTTACGTTTTTCAAAGACAGCTTTATTGAAACAGCAACTGTCCTTTGAATACAATCAAGATTTTCTTAGCAAATACAGCTCTTTTCATGAACACATTTGCAGGTAGAGAAGTCCCTTAAAAGGCTCTCACACCAAACACTAAGGTTCTTTCCTATAAGCGACAAAAGCAAATACTGAAGAAAAATGTCTTTGCACTTTAAAATAACACTGTGATATTTTAAAATGTGGATTTATAAACAAAAAAAGCTCGTCGCCATTGCTGTCATTTTCTCATTATCTGTGCTAAATAATCAGAGAAATCAAAAAGGCCATGATCCTTCATCCTGACATACCTATGCTCTGGTTGCTACTAATGAAGCAACACTGGCACGTGACTGAGATGCAAATGAAGAAAACCGTGAAGAGCTAACTCGCCCTGTTAATTAACCTACAAATAAAACAAGGGAAAGAAAATAAAGAACAATCATTTCCAAACTCAAAAACGAAAAACCTGAAGAGCTTTGCAAAGATACCAACTTGATAGCTACAAGACATAAAAGTAAAAACGGACTTTTACATATTTTAATCAACCAATTTAATACAAATACCTGATTTGTACTTTTATACTAAATGGGCTAAGCCCCATGTTCCGTACTGTGGTTCACATGACTCAGCAGGGGGATCTTTGGAAGGATAAGTTACCTTTGGAGGACAGTGTATAAGTAACTGTAAACATACACGATTGTCCACTAGCTTTCTTAAATAGAATTTCTGAAATATTTGTGTAGGAAATTATATATAAGCAGTATAATTGATCAGAAATTTCTATTACAACATATAAATTCTGTTGTGTGTGCAAAATGTGGTAGAAATAGAAGGTACTAGGTATGATTCATATGTTTAAAGTAAGTGATACATTACAGTCCAGTAAGAGTCCTTTAATCTTTTCATGAAACTTCTCTCTATAGATGTTGAAATACATAATGCTTTCTGGCTTTTCTTCAAACCAAAACTTGTCAAATTCATAGACAAGATAACCTGCAGTTAAAGAAAAACAAAACAAATAGTGCTCAATGACATCACATCCAAACCATCCCATTTTAAAAGTACATAACCATCCTTTACATTCCATATTAACGTACAACAATCAAAAATCATCTTAAACTACTAGAAACCTGAGGCACTTTATAAGAAATATTTTTGTATGTTTAAAATAAATAGCAATTTTAATAAAACATTTAATGTACATTTACTATTTGTCTGAAAAATCAAATCCCTCAAATTTAAAGATACCCTGAAAATAGGAAAAAAGTTATCCCCAGAGACCCCAAAACACAAAAATGAAAATAACAAGAAAATGTTGCACAAGGATAAATTACAGGTAAGCTGTTTTCTAATTGATTTCTAATTCTCAGAGATAGCTCTACTTTTTTCAATGAACTATCAGCATCTTCTCCTTTGAAAAAGAATACATAAGCTCTAAATAGGATTTAACATTTTTGTTTTTCAATATCCTTATTACAGTAGCCAAATTAACCCTGAAAATGTTAAAAGTATTTAATAAAAACAGACATATTTATGGCAAAAAATGTGAATGTAAAATCACTCCTATACCCTATTTGGACTCAGCCTGTCATGACTTTTCACCTCCGCTGTGACTCTGACGCTCTTCCCAGACAGGAGCCACACAGATGTTGGTGTTGAGGGCACTGTATCAACAGTAGCCAGAGACGCTCAAGTTACCAGTCTTTAGGGGGAAAATGCTAGACAGAGGTCATTCTACAATGCTTTCCTACCTATCACACTCCTGTATTTACTTCATTATGGAAAAATGCTTAATGGGGGGAGTTTTTTGGTTGTTTCTTCTTGTATTTGTTTTATGTTCAATGGGCAGCATTAAACAAGCATAGATTTCATACAGAAAACAAACATCAGAGGCAGTTAGCAAAGTCCCCACAGTTTAGGACTACGTTTAAAGTCAATGAGATTTAGGAGAGGAAATCAAACAAGACTAGTGTGGATGGTGGTACAGTCCCCAGCAACGAAATGAAAGAAAAGAAGTGGAAGGAGAAGAGGCAGGTTTGGATGCAAATCTGTTCAAAATGCCCAACCCCTACAAAGATGCCTGGTTGGGTCTGAGCCAAGGAAGGGTGAGGGCAAGGGGCTCTGGTCCGCTCATGAGACACACACAGAGTCTCGTGGTCTATACTAACGGATAGACAGGCTGGGGCTATTTTGACCCAGTTTTGTTATTTAAGTCTAGGAGCAGACAAGGCAGTCTCCAGGAAAGTCAGGAGGGGCTGGGAGGGTATTAAACAAAACACCAGTGACAACCTAGGAAAGGTGATGACGGACAGCTTCTCACACCTGCTAGGATTTTCAGTCCACCCAGAATCCACAGGAGTCCTAGGGACCTGAAAAACCTGCCCCTCCATCTAAAAACATCCTAACTACTTAGTGTACCCATCCCCGTAAGGTCCTTCATCCTTATCTATTAAAGAAGATCTAGACATACGAATGCTGGGCTAGAGAGAAGCCAGGCTGAAGTTTGGCATGATGAGGACACAGACGGTGTGTCAAAGAGGGAACCGGGTCAGATGACTCAGGGCCAGAAGGAAGGCGACCGAGAGAAGAGGGCCCAGGGCTGGCTAGGAGGCGCTCCTACGTTTAGGAAGGTAGCAGATGAAGAGTCAGCACAAAAACCTACGGAGAAGCCAGGCGGGCAGGAGAAAAGCCAGAAAGCGTGGCATCAGAAAGGCCCAGACAATGTCTCAAGAAGAAAGGCACAGCTGTTTATGCTGAGCACTGTTAAAAGGATCAAGGAATGGGAAGAAAACAATGTGACAAGTGGATTTGCCCACAAAAGAGACTGTTGGTATCTTTGAAAAAAAAAAGTTTCAACAGAGTAGTGGCGAGAGAATCAAGTTTAAAAAAACTGGAAGGTGCGGAAAGGAAAACAGCACTTGTTTTTAAAGTTTTATGTTGACGGGGAGCAGATAAATATGGTGGTATCTGGAGGTGGATGCCACACGGTCAAGTTTGTTTCTGAAAATAAAAGCTCCCTAAACGCAGAGCCTTATCCCCAGTGCCTGCAATAGCAACTGCCACACAGCAAGTGAATGACTGAGTGGGAGACAGACAGGCAGGTCTGTAGTCTCACAGGAATATTCCAGTGCAGAAGGAAAGATGAATAATGGAGAGAAAAACGGGTAACTGAAGGAACAGGTCTCTGATAAGGCTTTTCAGAGACGGTCACGTCTAAACTGAGATTTGAAAGATGTGTAGGCGTCACCTGGAGAACGAAGGGAGCAGGAACGGGGTTCCAGGCCGGGTGAAGGGTCACGAGGGAGCATGGTATACTTGCACAACTAAAAGGAGACCAGTGTGCCTAAGTTTTAGACTGTGGGCAGGTGGCGTGTGGCAAAGGTGAGTCTGGAGAGGCAAGGCATGTTTGCAAGGCCTTGTCATGGGACCTTTTGAAGAGTTTTAGGCAGTGGAGTAGCATGACTAGATTGTCATTTTAAATAACTATAACCTCAATGTGGAGCTGAACTGGAAGAAGCCTGGTGAAAAAGCAATTACAGTAACAGTAACAAAAGCCTGAGGTTGTGCATTACAATGGGGATGGGGACAAGCAGTCAAATGCAAGGGAAATTTAGGGAGCAGACAAACCTGGAATTAATGGTCATGTAATGACGGGAGGCTGTGGGGAAGAGACCTGAATGACACCTTCAACCATGGAGTTGAAGAAGTTATGATCTGGCCATTTATTATCTAAGTAGTCTCTTGTATCCTGCCAACATGCAAATGACAACGAAATCAAAGTTAGATTTGAATTCGTTGCTTCTGAACAATGTCTTCAGAAGACAGGTTCATTCAACCAAACCTTCGGTGTTCAAATATATCATCATCACAATAAAGGTGGATGAACAGTGGTAGTAATGACTGCTTTAGAAACTTATTAAGGAGCCCCAGCCTAATACAAGAAAACCTGGCCTTGAAATAAGGGAGGGGTGAAAAGGTCCTTTACACTAAATTTCCTTAAAAGAGTAACAAAATAATCTGTCCTTGACTCAACAACATTCATTAACTCGTACTCGAAAAGGAAAATTCATTTTCCAGTTGACTGGAAAATAGATCCCTACAGGAAAACTGCATGAATACTAAATTTGCATACATGTGAAGAAAACGCATCACTAACTCTTTTTTATTCAGCAACTATAAATATAGAAACTGAAGTGCAAAATACTCTTTGGAACCCATCTTCCATTTTCCCTAAGATGCTAAATAATAAAATGATAACCATTAAGTCATATGCTTGATAGAGGTATTCTATATTAACACCTTCCTAGTGATTTAAAAATTTTCTTAGAAATATCTAGTTTAACTCCTTTTAATACCTACAGTAAAACTGATGAAAGTGTTCCATTGTTGGTACACCAGGAACAAAGTTGTAGAGATGAAATTTCAAAGCTTCACTCTTCAGCAAGCTATAAGCCATCTCTGTCAGATTGATTCCAACTATTGCATAAGAATACCTATGTCAGAAACATTACCAGTTATATCAGCTAGCCAAATAGCTCATAAATTTAAAATTATGCAAGGAATTGGAAAAAAGTTACTTTGATCCACTTTTAACACAGTATTGATTTTATGATAATCTCTATGTATTAAAAAAAAAATAAACCAGAATAGATTTTAAAAATTGTTCTTTAGAAGCTATTTGATTTTCTGAAATAAGAAATAAAATCTAGGAAATAAAAATAAAGCTCTGGTCACATGAATGTCTAAAACCAAAATCCTTTAAAAAAAAATTAAAAGGAGTACTACATACATTCTCATTGATTTCTAACAAACACTGGGTTATCTGACATTTTTGTCTTCCTTTATGAGGGTATTTATTTTTATGAAGTAATATTGCTATAATGTTTTTCAAAGATAAGTATCATTGAAATACAAAAATAATGACAAAGCTAATAAGACTTCCATTTGCATTTCACTACACAATTTTCAAAGCTAGTTCTCATTTTCCTATTCCTATTTCAAAGCTATTTCCTATTCCTATTTTCAAATCTATTTCTCAAAAAATTTTTATAAAAATCTATATCTCCATTTTTTTTTTTTTTAGCTGAGCCATCCTGCCACCTGTTGGCAGCTCAGCAGCAACTCAGCTCGGGCTGGACTCGAACCGCTGTATATCTCCATTTTATAGATAAACTATATCTTGTGATAAAAATATACTGTAATACATACAAAATTGATTTATGATCACATTTAGCCTTAAAAATAATGCATCATGTAATATCCTTCATAAGCTCTTATTTAAAATAATCTCATTTAAAAAATACCCTGAAATACTTTCAAATTTACATCATTTAATCAACTTAAATTCAAGAGCTTACAGTTTCTTTAACACATCCAGCTTACCCTAATTTTGGATGATTTGAACGGGAAAGAATCTGATGAGCTTCACTGGTATAATTTTCACTGAAATACCTTGAAAAGTTTAAGAAAAATAATGAAATTAACATGTCATTCAAACTGAAAATATCTAGAAGCAATTTAAAAAGCTACTATCAAAATGACAGTCCTAGTACTGCCACAAAAATCTTGATCTCCATCTCAAATAGTTTCAGTGACTCAGAAATGCTTCTGATCAAAATTTAATTCTAAGCTATCAAGCCTATTTGGTACAGGAGCCCTTGTTAATTAAGATTTAAAGTATTTCAACAAATAAATGATTTACCTAGACTTTCTACCTACCTTTAAAAACATCTAGAGCTCTTTTTGTTTGTTCTAAGTTTTCTATAAAATAGCCAACGTGGACCTGTTGGGTGCTCTCCCTTTCATCTCAGCTTATTCCTTCTATTACAGCTAAGTCTGTGCTGTTTAATGCCACTTTCAGGGTAATCAGAAGAAAGTCATAACCTTCATTCTGCACTAAAAACCCCCCCTGATCAGCAGCATAACTAAAATACTGGCATTAATACAGAAGTACACGATAAAGCTATCTATCTGTAGGCTCACAGCTTCTGTTGGCTTGTATTCATGCAACTTCTCTGAGTTCTTGAAGAAAGGGACCAAATCTGCTGGGTCAACTCACAATGCACTAGGAATCATATACATGTCCATCAACATGTGATGTCTGGCTGGATGTTTATGTGAGGATAAGAAATAGAATAAAAAATGGATTTACATGGTTTATTTAAATTTTAGAGGGCACAATCACTGAAATTTTCATAAAGCATGCAAATTTCAAACCAAATCTTGCCGTTTTTTCTTCTATAGATTCATACTACAAACTTCCATTTTTCTTCACTGGCTCTGATTTTCAACCCATTAAAATAGGGGTTGTTAACTCAGAAGTCCATGAATGAAGGGGGATCCATGAACCACCAAAAATTATGCAAAATTTTTATGTGTGTACATTTTCTAGGAGAAACTATACAAAACTTTTGATAGACTCTCAGAGATCTATAAAACCCAAAACAGGAAAAAGTCCTGTTTTAGTGCACTGCTTTCCCTAAATACTCTAATTTTTCTAATGTATCCCTCAGTTGGTTCTAAAGTGCCTTTAGTATTTATATTTCATTTTTTAACATAATACTCCTAATAGTCTATGGCCATACCACCTTGAACACGCCCAATCTCATCTGATCTTGGAAGCATTAATATTCCCAATATAAATATTACATTAGTTTTTCAATGATCAAACTACTCCTAAAATAGTCAATCTGTAACACAGAGCAACTTTTAATTTCCTTTCTGACTTGATTTAGTCAACTATCCTAACTGTATCTAAGAAATAAGACACCTTTGCAAATAAGGAAAACTTCCTTACAATACATGCCTTGAGTTCCTTCCTTCTTTCTTTCCCTCTCTCCTTTCCTACACACGTTTTTTTGCCTTAACGTGTATATTCTCCTACTTTTCTGCTTCTATTTCCTCATCTACTCAAGATTTGCTCAGTCTCTCTGAATTTCTTTTCTGTATAACACCCTTTCTTCTTCTATGCCTGCCTCAGCATTCATTTACCTAAAGCATCACTATCCATCAAACTACCAGCTATCCTTCAAAGCAGCAAAATATCTCAAGAGATTGGGTGACAAAGGCCAAGAAATTGCTGTTTTGTTTTGCTTTTTTAATTACATAAGGGTATTTGAACAGCCTGCCTGCTTCTTGACTGTATGAGTATGTTGATTTTGATCCTGAAGTGTCATAGCTCCATACACAGGACAACAAACATGATTATAGAGGAAGTAGAGCTAATTTTGTTTTTAATAATTTCTAGTACATCATTGGCAATCAAATAATTATTAACATGTATATGTGAATCTTAGTCATTTTTCAAATTAGTAGATACTAGCTCTAAATAGAGTAAAATATTGGGTCGTCGGAAAAGTCATGACGCATTTTTGCATAGAAAATATAGAAAAAATACATCATGACTTTTCCGACGACCCAATATCTATAAATCATTTAAAGGTCTATCAGAATCCTTAGCCTTGAATCAAACCTATTAAATTATTTGAACTTTATGCTAAATTAAATTCTCTTCTGGCAGATGCCGAAAAATCTTGATTTCTGAGGAAAAGAGCCAGAAGCAAGGTTATTCAAAAAAAGTTAAGAAAGGGGCTGGCCGAGTGGTGCGGTGGTTAAGAGCTGGCTTGGGACGCCAGAGGGCCCCGGTTCAGATCCCACATATGAGGGCCAGTGACACTGCCCTAAAAAAAAAAAAAAAAAAGTTAAGAAAGGAAACACCAGGATAGTATGTATCTAATTGAGAGTGAGTCGGTTCAAATCTCTGTGTAGCTTACAAGTACCAAGACAGCATACCAAACAGCATACCAGGTCTTTAAAGGATAGAAACAAAAACATCATGTGTTGTGAATAATAAATTTTAAAATATTTTGTAATTTTTCCAAGTGAAAGCAAAGTATATTTATTCTACTTAAATTCCAAATAGAAGTTTCTGTTTATCAAGGTGAAAAATTGGCAATTTCATTTTTTGTAATTATTATTATTTTTAAGACTACTGTGGTTTGCTTATCTCGGAGAGGTAGACTTACTGGGACCTTTCTTAGTCATTAAATGTATTACAGAAAATTAAATACTTCAGTAACTGGTAAAAAACTGTATGTATTGAAACCATCTATGTCTTCTATTTTCCCCCAAAATAGCCTTATCCATATTGACCTAGATATTTTCCCTCAATTATTAACATCATTTAGTTCAATTTCAGGACCAGTCTTTTTCACAGCAACTACCCATACTGTTAATGGTTAGATTTCCCAGTCGTTTTATAGACGATCGCCTATAAATCACAGCTCAAGGACAGACCCAAGCACTACATCTCATCATTTGATTATGCTTATAGGAGGCAAGTAATCTTCCAGTTTATTTTCTAGAATAGTTTAGGCTCTCAATTCTGACTTTAGTTCCATATTTTGCAATTTCATACATGTGCCCAAGAATAAGTATTAAAGAAGAAAAAGGAGAAAGAGTCCATACAGGTTCTGAAAAGTCAGGGATTGAGATCACTTGCACACATGGCAAAGAATAAGTGTGAAGAGACTTCATTATTATCTTATCTGGTTACATTTCCCAAAATGGAATCACAGAGCCGAGAGAGAAGAGGCAAGGGGGAAAAAAAAGTAAGAAAAGAGTGTAAATAATTCCAAAGAGGTATCAGAAGGGGGGCCAGGAAGAGAAAAGGTATTGGTAAGTAAAGAAATCACACACACATATACACACAAGGATATTTCCCATGTCTTTATGTTGTTGCCAACACATTAGTAAATACTTTTAGCACTACAGCTATTAAAATTCAGAAACAGTATGACATTAGCTTGGAGGGAACATATAATTTCACTTAGAGAAGAAAGTCTATTTTCACTTACACAAGGTTGATCAATCCAAGCACGCCCATGCCTCTGAAGTCTGTTTTAGGATCGTCACCCTGGAAACCAATGTCAGCCCACTGCTTGGAGATTCTAGCCTTCAACTTTCTCGTGGGCATTAGAAGATCCCAGAGCTGCACAAACATGCTTCCATATTACAAATAATAGTGATGTTCCTAATTTACAAAGACATTTTCCTTCTCATAGCTGATGTAACTAATAAGTTCAATGCTTTCAATTAACTTTTATAGACAAATCATAGGTTCAACAAAGACTCTGTGTTTAGAGATCCCTAAAAAAAGTAGCATACTTATTCTAATTTAGAAGACTGATATAAAGAATACATTTTGAAAACGTAACAAATACACAGAAATCTAAAACAATGAGATGCCTTTATTTACATATGAATATATATGCACGCACACACCAGAATTGGTAACTGGCAAACTGCTTCCTAGAGAGCTTGTCACGCACTTGACCCTTGCCGCTGACACTATACACCTAAGTAGGCTCTATTCTAAGAAAGGGTGATTCGTCCCTAATCAGAAGAAGGAGAACAGGCCTGAGTTAGGGAGGGGATCACGAAGAAATAATACTGATAGTATTCCAACCCATATAACCATTTTACAAATTTTCATAGTTTTAAAAGAAAAAAATAAGATGACTTAGTTTTAAGTAAATATATTCCTTGAGACTGAGATCAAACATCAGACAGCTATCCTAAGATAACGTAAGACAGCTAGCAAGTATTTGATAGCAAGCAACAAGCCAATCTATGCAAAATAAAGTTTAAAAAATTTAACCATTTTCTAAATTGGACACCACAAGTCATCAAGCAAATCAGATTTACAAAATTGGTTAAGTTTATAAAAATTTACAAAACAGAAATATCTGCATTCCCCGCCCCCCCCTTTTCATTACCATTTCAGGCATTGTTGAGTAAAGGAATCCTGTTACCTAAAATAAAATGTGAAGACTTGTGACCTTGCTTTAAAACACAGGGTCAGGACTATGGCCCTGAAGCTAACTCCAGTAATTAAACTGGGTTTTACCTTCTCTTATTACTAACAGATCTCCCTTATATGTTTATAATGTATTTCAGAATTAAGGACATTAACATAAAATTGATTTTATATATTTTAATGATGCTTATCAGAAAATGATAAAAAGTGTTAACTAAAAAATTTTCACCAACATAATAAAATTCTCTAAGGTGCAAAGAAACTGGATGGCTATATTAGCCTTGAGATGTTACCAGCTGAAGTCTGATTTATTTTTCAGTGTTCAATAACTCCAAATGCAGAAAACAAAACTTACCTTGAGAAGCAGTTGTTCGTGTTGCAGGTTATCAGAATCATATGGCCTTTTTCTCACACTTTCTACATCCAAATACAGCTGTTTATAACCAGATATCTGCAGTAAGCATGCCTTCATGCAGATTTTAAAACTAAAAATGATAAAATCATTATTTTTAAAAAGAATGCCTTCATATCACAGTCAAGTAATGCCTTCCATAGTTTGTGGCTCATATGTCTATTTAGAAACCATTTCCTAGCTTTCAGTTTAATTCAATAGGCATCACGGCCTCCTTAAACACAAAACATTATATAAAGTATCATGCAGGATACAAAACAAGACATAGAAAGAAGACGAGACATGATAGGAACGACAAACTTTGCAATCACAAGGATTTCTCCTGCTCTTCATGTTTTCTCTAGGCAATTTCACACATTCCCAAATCTTTTTGCCAGATATCACCAAGAGACCTCATTTTCCAAGTACACATATAACAAACAGGTCTAAGACAGGTTATCTCAGTTCTCCCAAATACAACAGCTTATCTTAAGTAAGTTTCTAAACCTATTAATGACATCACTAATCACTAGTTCCCCAAGCTAGAACCCTCCGAGTTCTGACCCTCCTCTCTCCATCAACAATAAATCTTATTTGCTAAAAAAAAAAAAACACAAAAGAACCGAGAGGACACCTATATCCCTCAGTGCGTCATGAAGGCTCGGCAGTGTACCTCCAGCCCAGCACTGCACTCACTTCTCCGAGCACCGCTCTGCAGGTACTCAACGCCCCAGCTACAAAGGGCTCCCTTTCATTCCCAGACACTCAGGCACGTTGGGCCTTGTTGGCACTCTTCCTCTGCATAACATGTCCTCCCTACCATTCAACAAGGTCCAGCTCAAATGTCACATCTTCTGTGGAACTACCCTCACAATTCTCTCCTGTACTCGTCCCTGTTCCAGCCAAAACAAATTGCTCCTTCCTCTATATGTGCACAGAAAATGCTGAATTAAGAAAAAAACTGCTCAATACTGACTAAGTGAATGTAGTGGTGCTGGGAACACAAAAATGGAATAAGTCACATCCTTCTCTTACGGAACTTAGAACTTATTAGGGGAAGAGCAAGAGTCCATGAATGATTGCAGCACCATGGGTTACGCTACGACAGAGAGCTCTGTGAGGGAAGAGCAAAGGCACCTGACTCAGACTGCAGGCGCCAGGGGACCTTCCTGGAGGAGGACAGAGGAACTGAATTCCACAGTGGCCGAAGTTATTTCACTGTGGGAAAGTAATGGCAACTTACCTTAAGGAAGGCCGATGGTAAACTGGCAATAGTACTGGAACCAAGAGATACAGGCTTTAGTTCTGCTCACATCACTCACCTCTCGGGACCTCAGTTCCTCATCTACTGAAGTGAAGGGGTAGGGTAAGATGCTCTCCACAATCCCGTCACCTCCGATGTTTTACAACTGTGTGTGATCGCTACAATTCACAGAGTGTGGGTGCAGAACAAAAGAGAATGCTGGAAAAACAGCATACCTGACATCCTTCTCAGGGTTAATATTCTTTTCCTTCATTATATGTTCTACACATTGGTCCACTTCACTCTGAACAACAAGTGTCGCTTTCTGTAAAACCTATTGATGTGACAAAAAGCTGATTGAGAAAAATCCCTTATAGCTGGAAAAGAACAGTACATTTTGAAGTATTTAGTCAACTCTACAATGCAGATATTAAAATGCAAAATGAAACCAAATTTGTTTCAAATTTCTACTAGTGTTAGAATCAATCAATTATTAATTAATTAAAAGAGAAGCAGCATTTTGCTTCCCATAAAGGTTTCCTCAACAGGCTGTCAGCTGACGAGTTCTTAGTGAAGGAGTTATAAGCACAGTGTGCTTATGAAGCAGGCACTTTTTATAAAATTCAAAAATTACATAATACAGATACATGTACAAAAATTTTTATGTACAAGTCAAAGAAATGTTAAATGCAGAAGAGCACAAAGAAGAGAACTCAAACCATGAAATCTCACCTCCAGTGACAGCCACTCATAACAGATTAGCATATAATCTTCCAGTCTTTTTTCTATGCATATGAAACAGATTTCTTAAATAATCTGGCCTACAAATGTCCACTGGGTCCTTCCTTTCAACAAACAAGCAAGTTCAGGTCTTCCTTACCCTTCAAGTTTCTTTAACTCTTCTCTCTCTGTAAGTTACCATCAAAATTCTCTCTGGTATCTTTTATACTTCGGGCAAAACACTTCCATCATTTCTCTTCTTATCCTGTACTTTCATCTGGAGTGCTCCTTTCCTCAATCTCTAAACTTAACAATCCTTCCCATTTTTAAGTTAGCTCATATACCAGGTCCAGGAAGCTTTCCCTGGTTCCATTCAAGTGGAAGTAACATGTCCTCTCTTGGAATCCCCACAATTGTTTATCTGTAATCTTTCTATGACCCTTACCACTTTATTATATATTAAGTGGAAAATTCTTTGAAGACAGATTGTATCTATTTGTATCTATTTTCATATCCTGCCCATGAGAAATAATTCACAAATACATATACATTTGTGTTAGTATACTCACAGGGTGTGAATGCTTCATTTTTTTTTTAATAGGTCACTCTCCAGAACGTAACTGATACGCTTGCAATATTCAACAAGGTCCAGTTTGTTTTTGGCATAAATCAGTAACTCATGTCAATAACACTAGATAGTAGCAAGTCAACATTTTTTGATGCTACATTTTTGATTCACATTATATACATCATGACCAAGTACATATATACATACATATATATGGGTATCTAAAATATATACAGATGCACATACACACAGATAACTAAAATTAATATTTCATAAAACAATATTCAACCTTATTATAACCAATAGTCTCTATTTTCTATTCCTTTTGTTGTTGCTATTTAATGCTGGCTGTGCTCTACAATGGAATTTCAAACATTGGTCTAAATGATCCATGCTCTACCTATTCCACACCACATATAAGTACAGAAAAAATCTGAACTACTGTAGGGAAGCACAGCACGCAATAGACTGATTTTTCACTCCCCTATGATGGAATTATATACCCATATGGCTACCCTGGCCTTTTGGTGGGCACACCGTATTTCTCCACTTTGATTTGGGCTTGGCCTCATAACTTACTTTAGCCAATGGAATGGTAATGGATACAACACCAGGAAATTTAAAATATGTCTGTGCAGTTAGGGCTTCAATGATCCACTGTGACAAGAACATTCTCCAGGTACTCACTACCATTCCAACGCAGACCCCAGAATAAGACAATTGGAACAGACCTGAACTTGACACCAGTTTGCAGAAGTCACTCCAGCTGGCCCACAGACACGTGAGCAACAAATAATATACTGTTATACATCCCTGAGATTTTATAAGTTTGTTACACAGCAAAAGCCAACTGATACAGTATGAGGTATAATTTACTTTGCATCAAAAGGTACATGACCCAGGGTATTCTATAACTATCGAAAATTGCTTGCTTTTCTCTCACATGAGAACGAACCTAAGGACACAGTCTAAAAGAAGGTTTTTCCTCCAAGACCCTGCTTTCCCCAAAACAATCAAGTCTTGAGGCAAAATAAAGAAGCAAAACCTCAGAACAGGACAAATTATTCAAATACCTTCTTTATGCATGAGTAGTGCACGCACATGCACACACAGATAAAATATTTTAAAAATAGAATATTACTTCTAAACTGGGAAAATTTCACTCTTTATAGTAAGTACTCTTTACAGCAAAGAGTCTTCTAGTAGGATATTACTAATTAATTCTAAAATTGAGGCATTCTTTTAAAGAAAAAGTACCTCCCCGTTAAGTTTTCTAGAATTATCATCATGATAGGAACTTACCTTATTCTTGGAGTATGTCAAGGAATTTTCTGAAATGAAAAAAAACAAAACAAAAAACATTATCACTTAAATGTTATTTGTGTATTGCACGATAAACAAAGAGTATAAATATCAAGCCAGTGATAAATTACTTTAGTAGTTCCAGAAGATATAATTTCTACATGAATAACATAGCAAACATCTTAAAATTTCATCCTTACACGTCCTTGGTACAGGGAACTAAATGTGATTCCAAAATCCTCAACCCAACACAACATACCAGAGCCAGAGATGAAATCACCTAACTTCCCAAAGTCACCTGTTTCTGTGCAGATCCCAGAGTATCTGCTAACCACTGCAAATTCACTCATGGCTGCCTCAGAATAGCTCGAGTCCCAGAAACTCATCTTAAGACTACAGGGAGAGTGCTTTCGGCTACATATTTTTCATTTGTTAGCCTTAAGGAGTAAGTGTGTAAATTTGATGAGCTAGCAACTGAATCATACAACACGTGGGCAAAAATGAAGATTATTTTTTATAATAATAAAAATATATATAAAATATATATATATATATATAAATATATAAAAATATTAAAATATATATAAAAAATATATTTAAAAAAAAGATTATTTGCCCAACCATTCTCTAACCAGACAAACAGCAAAGGAGCTTCTCCATTATTCTGTTTCAAGAATGACTAGAACATTTTTACTGGTTTATTTTTTTAAAATTTGGCATATTTACGTATAGCCTTTTTCTCAGCAATTTGAAAATTTCGAGAAAAATGCTTTTGCTACAAAGTAAGGCCTTAATTTATGTTCTTCCCCCACATGATAAAACACCAACCAGTACTGCCAAGATTTCTTATCAAGAGGTACTTTGTTCTTCTCAGAGAAGTCGAAAGGGCAAATCAAAAGAGCAGGCAATAATTTAAGTCAGCCACAAAGTTGTGAGAAAACTAGGGACATAATGAAACTTCAATCATCCAGTTGCCCTGAGGCTTTCTTTTTAATTCTATCCTCCTTCCCATGTTGCCTTGGATACCAACACCCACTCCCCAAATCTCACAGGGGTAGATTTCTTAGTTGAAGCACACTTGTTTAACACAAAAGAGGGTTTGATGAAGTCATGACTTTCCATTTAACACAGTGAGCATATATGCAGCTGACCTCTGGTCTTTCTGATCCTGGCCAAAGAGAAATGGCCTCCACCACATTTCTCACTCATCTGTATGCTAATTTAAAACAATATTTCATTTATGCATTGGAAGCTGATGAATTTCAAAAGGTAGCAATGTAGTATTATTCAACAGAAATATCATGCAAGCCAAAATGTGCGCCACATGTGTACTTTAAATTTTCCAGTAACCACATTAAAGTAAAAGAAACAGATAAAATTGATTTGAATATTTTAACCCAATATATCCAAAATATTTTTCAACATATAATGAATATAAACAATTACTGAGATGTTTTCACATTCTTTGCTCATATGAAGTCTTTGAAACCCAGTGCATATTTTGTACTTCTGCACACCTCAGTTTATACCAATCATATTTCAAGTGCATTGTCAATAGCCACATGTGGCTACTGGCTAGGGTACTGGGCAATGCAGATTTTGAGTCTAATCTTTCCTAGGGAGCACTGGATATCTACTGCTGTCCTTACATGAATTACATAAGGGATTAAAAGATTGATGAAGGATGCTCAGTATAAAAATGGATCTAGATCCAATCACTCCCATCACTGGAGTGAAAATTACAAAGAGCTCATATAAGTAGATTTTTCTCTAGAATATAAGTTGCTGCTATAATCTAAGGAACAACTGATGAATTTCAGGAGCCAAAGAAGAAAATTGTTTGCACAGATGAGGAATTAAGTAACAATCCCTTTGTTTTTTTATAAAATCATACAGTTTTAGAGCTGGAAGGATTCAAAACCAGATATCAGAGGCGATGAAAATGAGTTTAAGGAAGTTGATAAGGATACACAATGAGTACATCTGTCACTATGAGTATTGAGAAAATTCAAATTTTATTAGTTTTTAATATTGTTTTGAATAACATTACCTATCCTGTGTGTCCTCTGTGCACCTACATAGGTATCAAAAATTCGCTGCAATTCACACTTCCCAGTCATCTGTCGTAAGAGCCATTTCATCCAAAATCGCAAAAAGTGCCCATAGAAGAACTCCCACAAAGAAATAAACATTTTTTTTTCCTGGAGAAGGAAATATATGACAGGTTTAATGACCTTAAATTGGATTCTAAGATGAAAAAAAAATTAGTTTATCCAACTCATCAAATCCCAAATGAGTATCTCTTATGCTATCCCACTGTGTCTATTTTGTAGTAGTATTTAGGAATCTAAGAAAACAGTGCTCGGTATAACATATACCATTTAGATTAATGAAATGATGGCTGGTCAAATGGTCAACTTATCACTTTAAAAAAATTAACTGTAAAAATCATAACTACTTAGATTCAAACTCTCAGTTCCTTAATTTCTCACTCTGAAAATTGGGACTCAACAGTTCACAAACAAAAGGAACCCAACTAAGCAACAATTAAATCTAATATACCATATATAAAAATTGTTATTATAAGGAATAATTCCAGTTCGAATAATTCGTTACATCTGTCCCACAGTCAGGTGATGTTAGCAAATAAAAACACTACATATGGCTTACAAATTGAAGTATACGAATTGAACACTTTGTAGATCACATCCTGGCTAATTCTTGAATTTCCATTCAACAGGTGAAGGACAGAAAAACTAAAAGCAATAAACTGTATCCTCAATAAAACTGAACCTTTATGTCATAAGAAAAATCTTCAGCTCCCAAACGAAGCGTGGCTGGGGCAACGCAAGGAAGGAGTTAAAAACAAAACAAAAATGCTCATTTCCTTCCTCCCTGAAACATTCCCACGGATACATCATCTCTAGACTTGGGCCTTAGGGATTGCCCAACTCGAAATCCCCAAAGGTCAGTGCAGAAAACGTGAACATCTGAGATGGGCTGAACTGTAACTTTAAAATGGACCCATCTAGTCCGCGCTCAGGACAAAAGAACTGCCAAGCGGAGGGAACGCAAGCCTCGCGGCGCCTGTGCTCCCCAGACCTCGGGGAGTCGCTGCGCCGTGTCTCCCTTCCGCAGCCCAGCGGAGCCCAGCTCGCGCACTGCCCCAAGTGGGAGGGAACGGTTTGCACAAAGCCCCGCCGGCCCGGGCGCCCCCCGGATTTGCCTGGGACACCGCGGGGTTCGCGCGCCCCGAGAGCCCTCAGCGCACCCGCACCGAAGCAGCTCGGGGCGAGAGAAAAAGAAACAACAGCCACCTGACAGAAGCGGAAGAACTATGGGGAGCTGGAATCGGTCTTGGTTTTCCCAACTGCAAACAGCCGGCAACGGAAATGACGCTACTTGTAGAGCGCTCCCAGCAAGCACCGAGACCCGGAAGTGAGGGAGCGAGCCCTCGGGAACGCCTCCAGCTTCCTTCGATTGGTCCGGGCTCTACCAATTGCTAACGCAGCAAGCAGGTCCAGCCGAGTTGCCGTGGCGCGCGTGCTCGGATTCTAGGGACGCCCAGCAGTTTCCCTAGCAACGGCTACTGGAGGCTCGCCTGACGCCAGAGGTTGGTTTCTGCTAGGGCCGCTCTGGAGACTTCCTTCGCTTTTTATTCGCTTTATTTACAATCGGTTGGATAAGTTGAAACCTTGTACTGCCTCTATACTTGAGCGCGGAAGAAGCAGTGTGCTTTTGGTAACTATTGTATCATAGCGCTGAGGTTACAAAAGAGTTTTTACCTACATTTGTCGCGATTTTGTGTTTTTTCCATTGGTGGCTGGGAACAGGCTTACGAGGAGGGCCGACATAAATAATACGCGCTTTTTCTAATGGGGGAAGAGTTCGCCCTAACCCCCGCGTTGTTCAGGGGTCAACTGTAATTATTAATAGTCCCACTTTATGGATGAGGAAACGGAACTCAGTTTAATGACTTGCTCGTGGCTACTAAGTGGCAGATAAGGAAAGCCCTATGTGTTGAAAGAAGTTTGGACTTTGTTCTATAATAATAATCATCTAACGGCTAATTCATCAAACATTTGTCCCTTAACTGGTTGTTTTTTTGAAAAAGTAATTTACATAATTTTTAAAAACTCGAACCTCAAACAGCACATTTACAAATGCAAGTACTTGTTGATTGCCTATTATGCACCAGGCAGGGTTCCAAAAAGGAGTCCTACAGTAAATGCACAAATATTTAGTATGCCAGGTTGTGCTGAGGGGAGATGGGAGGGGGGGGAGAGAGTTTTTATATACAGTGTAGTAGGGAGTCCCGTGTTAAGGTGATATTTAAGCATTGTCCAAGATGAAGTAAAGGAGTGAACCTTAAGACTGTGTGGAGGAAGAATATTCCAGGCACTGGAATGGCAAGGGCAAGGGCCTTGAATCAGGAGCATACTTTGTAAATTGGAGGACTAGCAAGAAAGAAGGCCAGTGTGGCTGGAGGAGAAAGAGCAAGGGAAACGCAGGATATAACTTACATTGAAAAATAACTTCCCTTCACTCATCTCAGACTCCTGATCCTTCAGCCCCCTTGCCCGAAAGCAACCAGTATTAGTTTCTGGTGTATACCTTCAGGAATAGTCTATGTAAGTGTATGAGATCTGACAATTAAGTCCTCAAACTTGTTGCAATGATGTTGCTAACCTTTTTTGATATCAGAGGGATTCTTCATTATGAATTTGTACCAACTGGATAAACAGTTAACCTAGTTTACTATTTGGAAGTGCTGAAAAGGCTGCGTGAAAAAGTTAGACAACCTGAACTTTTTGTCGTCAATTCATCATGACAATGCACCAGCTCACACGGCACTGTCTGTGAGGGAGTTTTTAGCCAGTAAACAAATAACTGTATTGGAACACCCTCCCTACTCACCTGATCTGGCCCCCAATGACTTCTTTCTTTACCGGAAGATAAAGGAAATATTGAAAGGAAGACATTTTGATGACATTCAGGATGTCGAGGGTAATATGATGGCAGCTCTGATGGCCATTCCAGAAAAAGAGTTCCAAAATTGCTTTGAAGGGTAGACCAGGTGCTGGCATCAGTGCATAGCTTCCCAGGGGGAGTACTTAAAAGGTGACCATAGTGATAGTCAGCAGTGAGTTATATAGCACTTTTTCTAGGATGAGTTTGCAAACTTAATTGTCAGACCTCATGTGTGTGTGTGTGTGTGTGTGTGTGTGTGTTCCTTCCATCCCCTTAGTTAACACATATTGAAGCTGCAATACACACTTTTCCACATCTCAACCAACATTTATTTTTAAAAGGTACTAATTGTAAAACACTAGGCATGTGAAGAGCGCATAGGCCATCATCCCTGTCCCATAGAAGCAACCAAGAGTCAACTTGGTGATGAAATCTGGACATACAATAATAAAGTCATAGAATCTTAGATCTTAAAAGGAACTTAAAGATCACCTCAGTGCATATTTTTATGGTACATAGAGTTTCAGAAAGCCAAAGTACACAGCCACTTTGGCAAAATAAGAAGTAGAAATTGACTTCTATTTCAGGGGGTCTCTCCGTTTATTACACAAGACCTTCATAAAATAGAAAGTGAGATAGATAATCCTGTATACAGTGATAGAATCCTTTTACCTTCTCGACAAGGAGCTCTTCTTGTCTCCACACTGTTGGTCCACTTCTAGCCACGTTTTTCTCGAAGAGAAGAGAATGCTAACGTGTTTGGTCAGAACCTGACAAGTGGACAGAACCCGACAACTGCACTTATTGGAAGCAGGATCCCTGTACATCAAAATGTCATGTGCATGTGACTGCCTCTTCTCTTTTCTGCTATTCATTAGCATGTAACTGGCAAATACAGAGGGTACCAAAAAAAGTATACACATTCTAAGAAAGGAAAAAACTATTAAAATTGTAATACTCAATATATACTGATAACAAAAGATGAATATAAGTCATGTGTATACATTTTTTGGCACCCCCGGTATATTAAACCAGATCAGGGAAGATTGACTTTCTTTCTGTCTCATTCTCTGTTTTTCTTCCTCCATGTGGCTGGCTAACTGGTGGTTAAGTTCTAAGATTAGAATTCTGACTTCAAGGAGAACGTAGGACTACTTAGGTCTCTAAACTAAGCTGTGTGCTTCTACGTGGTCTTTATCAAATACACCTACATGGCAAACAAGGGCTATAGTGTAATGGAGTTTGGTTATATTTTTTAGTAGTACTGAGGAGCCTCTGCTTTCTTGAATTCTCAGGGTAAAGAACTAAGGCACTGTTGATTTTAGGAACTGCTTAGTGGAAAGTGTTGTTCGGTATGACTTATTCAACAATTTGTTGCAGTGTTGAGCAGCTGATCAATATAGCACCCAAGATAAATAACACTGCCCCCTTTTGGAGGGTGTGAAGTCTGGAATGCAGCATATTTATATTGAGAAGGAAGGAAAGTTTTCACTCACAGTGAAATATATTACCTCTTCAGAAGCATTAAAAATGTTAAGGCAGTGGCAACCCTGATTAGTTTTATGATTATCTGCGTTGCACTTCCCTGAAGCTATGTGAGACAGTGTGATTAGGGGGAAGCCCTCATGCATGGGTTCCCTATATGAAGAGAACAAGAAAATAGACAGAATGCCAGGGTAGATTCATTCTCACAGCTGCTAGTAATGGGCTTTACCAATGAAAAGCAAGTTTAAGCTATTCAGAGTTAAGCTGTGGGCTGGGGTGAAAGTGGTAACCAGAACAAAGGAAATAAACATTGAATCAGGTAGAACTATTTACATGATTGTTTTTTTTTTTCTAAAGGCAGGGGCTGAAGGGGAATGTAGAAGCAGGAAATGTGACAGGATCCCTACAAAGGGTTTGGTGGCACGTTGTAGTTGAGAGGAGGGAAGCCTATTCTAGCTACTGCATCCACCTCACCTAAGTTAACCTATCAGATCTGTCCCAGCCTGGATGAGTTCAAAGCCAGTGATGCGCAAGGGAAATAAGGTGTGTTTAGCACAGGGTAATGGTTTTAATTCAGCTACTAATGTTGTGGGAGAAAAGGACAATCAACTTGAGGGTCAAGAAATCTTCATTTGACTCCAGGTAAGAGGTCCGAGATTGTCTGATACGGTCAGTGTGGAGTGGCAGAGGATGGTGGAAACCCTTTTTGGGATTATTGAAAGATGATGTGAAAGGTACTATAATATCAGCAGGGATATTATAGGTAATATTAAGGTATGGAAATTGAAGTTTGGGACATATGAAAATGTTATGGTAGGAATCACCATGAAACTGAAGATAGAGAAATAAGAAAAATCTAGTTGTTGCCTTTACCTGAATATGTAAAGTGGCTATGACATAGGTCCTTCTCACTACCAGCTTAAAGCCAAATGTCTTTAAGAAACAGAGATGTCCACCCTTCATGTAGTTTTGTTTTTGTTTTTTTTTAGCTGAGCCATCCTGCCATCTGTTGGCAGCTCAGCGGCAGCTCAGCTCGGGCTGGGAATTGAACCGGCGACCCTGTTGCTCAGAGCTTGCACCCTTGAGCGAGCTCTTAACCAACTGAGCCTCTCAGCTGGCCCCACCTTTCATGTTGTTTTAATTGGACATGCAAAATGAATTGTTCAGACCTCCCTTTGTAGTAAATACCAGCCAGTGTCAGGTTCTGGAAGGACACAGGAAATCTCACCTTTCACCAGGAAACAACGAGAGTAGGAATGCCGATCTCCACCAGTGCTTTCTATTCTCTGTGGCCCCTGAGAAAAAGAGAAGGCTCTTGAAAAGAGCTGTTAACTATCATGCTTTAAACAAGGTAGTTTCCATGGTTTAAACAAGTGTCTGTTGTTCCAGGCATTGTAAAAACTGTATAAGAGGTTTGACAAGCTAACTGCGACTGGGATTTTGTGTGTGTGTGATAGATTTGGCTAATGCTATCTGCTTGATCTCACTGTCAGAGAAAAGTCAAGCACAGTTTACCTGTACATGAAAAGGAACGTATTATACGTTTATGGTCCTTCTTTTCCCAAGGATATCTTGGATCTTTCCAACTCACTGTCACCATTTGGTGAGATCGGATTTAGATGTGGTCCTCATCAAAATTAAGTTAGTTCATTATACTGATGACATTATGATCATCGCCCCCTTGGAGGACAAGCTCAGATTTGAGAGCTATTGCGGCACCTATGACTAGCGAATGGTTAATGAATCCAGCTAAGATTCGGAACTTGGTGCAATCGGTGCAGTTTCTAAAATAACTTTAGATCACCAGAGGTATTATATAAATGGTAAATAATAAATGACTCCCCTCCGCCCCCCACCCCAGGACCATGCCAATAAAAAGGAGGCACAACACCTTGAAGGACTATTTGGTAAGCTATGAAAAATACATAATGCTCAGTGGCCCAAGTATGCTGCTGAGACCCTACCATTCAAACACATTCACAGAATTTTAGAAGTTTTGGACACCAGAATACATGCAAATTCCAGGCCCTTAGAATGAAACGTAATACTGCCATCTTGTGGCGATCACTGGGATGTTGGAACTCACAGAGTTCCCGTTGGTGGTGCTTAAAGAGCCAGTTTGCCTGCAGGCTGTTAGGTTCAAAGAAAACAATTGCCGTAACTTAAGAGCAGCAAATTATATTAAGATCCGAACTACCTGTGATACGGTAAGGATGATGTCAGAAAGAGGTTGTGATAGAGAAGAAGCTGCACAACAAAATTCTCAAAATGGAATTCGTGTCATGAAAGGTGTCTCAGGTGTTATAACACACACCTGGGCAGGTAGCATCTCTGCTATAGGAGTAATTCACAGCCCACTTCAATTGCTGAATGGTCTAAACCTCATGTCTCTCTTTCCCCTAAAATAAAGCAAGTTTCTTGGTGTATTCATGAGAGGTCCTGTAGAGAAGAAACTCCAATATCCAAGTCAGCTACTCTTTGCTCTACAGACGGTAAAAACCCAATCAAATAATGCAAAGATAAGTTCATCCAATGAGCTGAGTTGAGAGCAGTATGCATGACAGTGGGGGAGGAACTTACTTCTTTATCTCAGGGCAGTGTTTGGACATTTAAGGAGTCGTAGGCAGTAACCACTATGCGAATCTTGGTGAGTGAACCTTAAGGATACACTCCTCCTCCCCCATGTAGGGGATGCAGCCTGGGGGGACATGGGTCACAGATGCCCACAGCAAGGATTGAGTTGGTTCAAGAAGGAGAATGGAATGTCCAGCGGATGCCCTGCCACTTCCTAGAAGTAGCCACCTGGGTCATTTCAGTGGGTACAGTGGTGCCAAAGCCACACAATAGTGGGCAGAATAATTATTTATTCTTGTCTCTTACCTAAACCACTAATGTGGTAAGAGATTGTTGAATGATAACAACAACAAACAAGTGGCCATTTAAAGATGGCATTGGGAAAAATCTCCTGGGCCCAGGAATCCAAGCATATAAGCCAGTGAGCTATTATATTGGGTTACTATCTGCCGCCCTAGAGGATTCAGATGAGTTTGAAATTTGTTCTCTCTTGGGCTAAAGCGCAAACCCTGCCAAGAGCTGTTTGGTTCCCTATCATATACCTCTCTGATCAAAGAATGCATTCTACATTCCAGTGTGCAGAAATAGGCTCAGAAAATCCCGACATGACACAGACATATTACTGTATTCCATTACCATCTACAAAGTAGTTGTTAAATTGATATTAGAACTGGTGGGCCAGCCAAGTGGCTCAGTTGGTTAAGAGTGCACTCAAGAGTGAGAGCTCTGAGCAACAGTGGTTTGAGTCCCAGCCCGAGCTGAGCAGCCACTGAGCTGCCAACAGGTGGCAGGATGGCTCAGTTAAAAAAACAAAAAACAAAAAACACCTGGTAATTGAAACATTATTGAAAATACTACCTTGGTTTGCGAGCTAATTTGTTCTGGAAACAAACTACTCGTATCGCAAGACATCGCTCATTTACCAAGTTAAAATGTATTAGAAATGTTTGCTCATCTTGCGGAACACTCGCAAAGCAAGTTACTCGCAATCCAAGGTTTTACTGTACAGTGTAAAGATACCAGAGGCTGTTTGATCAAATATGAAGGGCAATAAAGGGGGAACAGTTTTTAAAAGTTTTGGGTGCTGGCGAGGAACAAATCACTCCTGATATTGTGGCTTAAAATGTTACTTCTTATGATCTGGTGGGTTGGCTGGCTTCAGCTGAGCAGTTCTGGTTTCATGTGGGGTCCCCAACACAGCTGCATTCAGCTGCATTCAGCCGGAGTTTGGCCAGTACTGGACCGTCCAAGATGGCCTCGCATCCTACTGTTCCTCTCCACGTAGCCTTTAAACTTTCGGTAATTTGGATTGAACTTCCATATAGCATGCCTGTTGTGCTCCAAGAAGGAGAAGGCAAACATTGCCAGTCCGCTCACAGCCTGGCTCAGGATTCCTAGAACATTCCTTCTAATTGCTAATGATGAGAATGAGTTATAAGGTGGGCCCAGAGGCTCCACTTTGCATGTGCGGAGCAGCATGCATAGGTGAAAGCATTGTTGGGTAAGCACCACAGTTTCCCTAAGGAATACTGAAGTGCTGTTACCATGGGAAGGCCAAAAAGAAAAGACCACCTCAGTCCTTACTGACCTGTGTTGGACCCTTGGATGCTTACTACTTGTCTGTACCATGTTCCTGTTTCTGTTTATCTAGTTGTTGGTTTGCAAGATCTTCTTGATGGACGGGACATCCTCCATTTTTCTGCAGCTGGGACAATCCTAGATGCTTGATCGCTCTTTCTCTGCTAATCAGACCAGCCTTGGTACATTCCGGGATGTAAGAGACAGATTTTTGTACCTATTGTTAACTTCTAGAATATAGTGGCCAAGGGACATAATGGAATCCCCCTCCCTGGTGGAAGGGGATGTGGCATCTTTATTAAATAAGTGTCTTGGGAAGGTTTGGGCAAAAAGAATAAACTAAGTAGTGTATGCATTTTCTAAGTCTAACCTATGACTCTGTGGAACACTAGGATGTCATGATTCTCAAAGTGCAGACCAGCAGCATGGATGTCACCTGGGACTTGACTGATAGAGTCAGAAACCCTGAGGGTGGGCCCACCAATCTGTGTTTAAGAAGGTTTCCAGATGATTCTTGTGCTTGCTGAAGTTTAAGAATGGCTGTCATAACAGATGGCATTCTCCCTGGGTACACATAACTTGTTTCTATGTAACTTGAAACAGAAATAGGGGCCAAGACAACTGACATTTTATCAGTAGTCAGTATCTTTCAGATTACTTTCACTTTCAGGAATACATACACACACACACACACACACACACACACACACACACGCGTGCGCGCGCATATAACTAGAAAATTCTGTCCCCATTGTTTGCTTTCTGTGCTAATAGTAGCCATGAGACCAGCGTTTAGTCTGAGGTTAACTAAAGAAGCCTTGAGAGCTGTAACGCTGGTAGCCCCAGAAGCTACTCTTCCTATTCCCATTATTTTAGCAAATATTTATCTTTAGCCTGGTAATCTACTTCCCATGATCTAAATGTGACACTTGAAAGCAAATCACAAAAGGGACATCTAAAAGTCTTTGAGAATGCTGTTGCATTCTTTATCTACTAGATTTCCTGGAGCAATATCAATTGTTGGCCTAAACGGTAGTAGGTAGTGACTGCAGGTGGTTGGTTGTGAATATAGCTTGGTTGGATAACAGGCTTGTGTTTCAGTTAGTACCTTTAATCTGTAACACACCCTGAAATGCACAGTGGGGAATATGATACAAAGATGTGTATAAAACGTGACCTTTCTCTTTTCATAACATGGCAGAGGAAATAAAATATATGTATAACAAATATGCTGCAGCTTGAGTGGCCTGAGAGAGGACCTGAGTGTTACACAAGTTCAAAGAGGATAGAGATTATACATGGGTGATCACTGAAGGCTTCATGGAGGAAGTGGCATTTCAGCTGAGTCTTGGATGCTTTTGATAGGAATATGAGTGTATGGAGGGCACAGTCCTGTGTCTGAACGAGAATAAGAAGATGGAGCCAAGAACCAGCAGGTGGCTGTTTTTATCTCCAGCACCTAGTTCAGTGACTGGCACACAGTAGGTGCTCAATAAATGTCATGTGTTCTAACTCATAGACAAACCACTGACTAGCAAATTTTTGGTTTTTCCTTTCTTTGGAAAAAAGACAGAAGAAAAAATAAATAAAATATAAAAGTTGATTGGAAAACACATGCTGATTTCAGAAATATTTAGATGTGAGAGCAAAGTGCTTATTGACTCTTAAAGGCAGCTGAAATCGCGAAACTGGAGTTCAAGTAAGAGAACAGTGAAATATTGATCTTGGAGGTGTGTTTGTGCTGGATAGCTTCCTTCCTCCACCTCAATCCAGCGAGCAGTGTGGATTCTAAGTGCTGAGCCATACACCTAAGAGGAAAGGGCTGAGAAGTTCTCTCAGGAACGGGAGCTCCCAAGAGGCGGGTGTGCTGGGGTCCCAGCGCCACTGAGCGGAGGGTGAGCGGGCGCGCGTCCAGGGGCACAGGCGCGGTGTGTGCGCATCCTCGGCGTGGGCGCTGCTGGTCGCCTCCACCCGCCGCGCCGCCCGGCTGCCCGCGGCCAGCTCCATGAGGGCCAAGACAGTGAACTTGCTGATCGCGCTCGTCGCCTTCGTGCTCTTCAGCTTCTCCTGCATCTGCATCTCCAGGATGGCTCAAACCAGTAAGCAGCGGGCGGCTGCTTCTGCCAGCTTTCCCGCCTTCCCAGTTTCGGGGCTCCGGGATTGTTGGGGGCCAGACTGGGAGAGAAGGGTGCGACGTGGGAACCTGGTGGGGTCGCCTGCTCTCATATTAGGGGCTTTACAGATGTAGCCCCCCACACCCTTGTCCGGCTGGCGGTTGAGCTGTAACGGGCGCCCTGGGCTACCCTGCGGCCTTGACCCCCGGGTGCGCGCACTAACGCCGGCCTGTGGGGCCTCCCGGCTCTACCTGGCCTCCGAGTGCGCCTTTTCCCTTCAACGGTTCAAGGGTCCCGACCTGAGCCCAGCGCCCCCCACCCCGCTGTTTCCAGAAATGTGAATGTCTGACTCCAAGAACTCTGACACAGCCAACATCTCTCTTTACGTTGTATTATTGAGCCACGCTTCAAGGTTCCCTAAAGTATTTTTTTGCGAAGCTGAGAAGGGATGCGATGATGGAGAGATATAATCGACAATTGAGGGTTCTGGTTTAGCATATGAACTTTCTCAAAATGGACCAAGGCTTTAATTTATTGCTGTCTATAGGGTTGCCAATTTGGCAAATAAAAATAGACGTTGCCCAGTTACATTTGAATTTCAAATGAGCAATGAATAAATTTTTAGTATAGGAATTGTATGGGATATATTTATACTAAAAATTGTTTATCTGTAATTCAAAGGTAAGTAGATTTCCTATATTTTATCTTACAACTCTAGTTCATGGTGTAACATTTTAGCATTCATATAGTTGAATTTTGAATTTAAGACTTAGGATTTCTGTAAATATATTAAGCCAGCTTCCAAGATTGCTCTTAGGTTGTTTTATCTTAAATTTTCATTCTTGTTCTTAAACTCATTTATGACTCAGGGTGCATACAAAATAACTTTGGTAGTCATATTGAGGATCAAATTTAGAAGTGGCTTTAGTCCTCTAATGTGTATGACCTCTAATTAATGTTAAAATCATGTTTAGTCCTGTAATTAATACTAAATTTTGTCACGTACACACAATACCAACACCCCATTTGTTTCAAAGATTTTAAAAAAATGTAATTTTATTTACCTGAGTTATACTACTAATCTTTAATCATTTTATACACTTTCCCTCGTCATTTTCTATAAAGAACATTATCCAAATGTTTTTATTTACTTTAGAACAATAAACAGTGAGCACTGAGCATTTAAAGCAGTCTTTCCATTTTCTACGTATGTATATCTGTGAAACCTACATATTTCTAAAATAATTAGAAAAATCAATCCTGGTACTTAATGAGATATTCTCACATCAAAAAAAAGAAGACAGAGACTTCATTTAGTTCTGGAGGTAGTGATTTTTATAAAACACCAAAGATAGCTGTAATATTTTAAAAGTTTGATCTATAGTTTTAATTGTTATCAATGAAAATTCGAGAATATTTTTTAGAAAGAGAGACACCAGCTAGTGCTTTATTATTTCTCCTTTAAAAAATTAATTTTATGTGTAGATAACCTTTTTGTTTCTTTCTATAAGCTCATAGTATTACTAATCATTAATTTATTCAAATATGTAAGATTCATGAGAAGGGGAATTGTTTTTCCTGTTTTTGCCTATTTGGTTCACTCCTCTGTCCCCAGCATCTGGAAAAATGTCTGGCATATAATAGATAGGCTAAATATTTGTTGAATGAATGGGTGAATGAATGTATGAACAAATGAATTTAATAAATACCTATCTATTCATGTTGTAGAAACTAGGTGAAAATAATTTTAAAAAGCCGTCACTTTCATGGAGCTTACATTCTGGTTAGGGGAAATTAACAACAAATATGAATGGTATAATTGCTGTATGATGTCAGGTGTTGGCAGGGGCAGGGAAGAGAAAGTACTATTTTAGATTGGGTTGTCAGAGAAGGATTCTCTGAGAAAGTCATATTTGAGCAGATTCCTGAGTGAAGTAAGGAAGCATTTTGTGTGAGGAAGCATCTCGGGGGGGAAGAGTTTTCCTGGTGATGAGAAAAGCACGTAGAAAGGCTCTGTGGTAGAATCAGCTTGATGTATTTAAGGAATAGCCAGGGGGCCAAAGATAGAAAATTAGGGGAGTTGTAAAGGGATGAGGTCATGGAGACAACAGTAAGAACTATGATTTCTACTCTGAGTAAGATAGGAAGTCATCTGCATGAAAAGATGCTCAGCATCACTAGTCATCAGGGAAATGCAAATCAAAACCACAATGAGGTTATCACCTCACCTGATAGATGGCTATTATCCAAAAGACCAGACCCTTATGCACTGTTGGGAATGTAAATCGGCACAGCCACTATGAAAAACAGTATGGAAGTTCCTTGCAAACTTAAAAATAGAACTACCATATGCTCCAGCAATTCCACTTCTAGGGATTTATCCGAAGGAAACAAACACACTGTTCATTTGAGCCACAGCAAACTCATGCATCTTCGTACTCCTGGCTGCATGCCTGCAGGCTACCGTGAAGACTTTCTTTTAGCTTAGCAATTTTTCTCCCTCTCTCCTGCCCTTTCATCTGGCTGCATGAGACACTTTGTAGGTCCAGCACTTCAGCAATTTTCAGGGCAGACATGCTCCGCACCACTGGAAATAGGGCTCCTTCACTCACTTTATGAGTGATTTTTTTTTTTTGGTTTTTCTTTCCTTGGTGGAAGGAATCCCCAAGGTATAGGACCTTGCAGGAATATGCTTCGACTATACCATGGAGCACAACCAGTAAGGAGAGCAGCTCCCAGGCGTAGCTCTCCGTCAGCAGAGTCCAGGAACCAAGGGCTATTGGACTGTTTATCATCCCTGCCTCCCTTTGCTAGTGTCACTTTGAGGATAATTCCATTTTGACAATTCCATTCTACTTAGTTGTTGAAATATATGTTCCTTTCTCCCATCCTTTGCAGCCTGATTGTCAGTTAATTTAGATCAGGAACCTGACTTGATCCATGTTTGTTTACCTGTCACGTAGTAAAGTGAGCAAGCGGCACGTGGTGAGTATTAAACAGGAGAAAGAATGACTGTTTCAGCATGCTTCTCCTCACTGGAGGTGTGTCGTGAATGAAATAAGGTGGAAAACTAAGGACATGGGACCTTGTACACTAAGGAAGTTGTTTGGACTTTATTCAGTAAGCGTTCAGGAAACCTTGTACAGCTTTTGAGCAGCTTCCAGAAGATTGCTGGTGAGACACCAGTTAAGAAGCAGTTATAATAATAATGCAGCTAGGGGCGGTGAAGGCCTGAACCCTCTGTTAAAGTCAGTGACAAGAAAGATAAGCAAGAACTGACTCTGGGTGGTGAACACACAATGGGATATATAGATGACATGTGACAGCGTTGTACACTTGAAAGCGATATAATTTTACTAGCCCATGTCAGCCCAATAAATTTAATAAAAATTAAAAATAAGAAAGATAAAACAATGCAAGAAGCCTATAAGGGGCTCCTCAAATTTTAACTTGCATACCAATCATCTGGGACGCTTATTAAAATGCAGATTCTGACTCAGTAAGTGAGGGGGGAAGTGGGGGGAAGCCCTGACATACTGCATTTCTAACAAGCTCACATCACAGCTGGTGTCACAGACCTGCACTGTCCACTGTCCAGTATGGTAGCCCCTAGTCAGGTGGCTCTGAGCACTTGAAATGTAGTTAGTCCAACAAAGGAACCAAAGTTTTAATTTAATTTTAAGTAATCTATAATTTGCATTTAAAACCAGAGGCAGTGTAAAATATTTCTCAATTAAGCAAAATTTTATTGTTTTGGTAAGACTACATTTCACTGCAACCTTTAAACTTTAGCATCTGAATTAAGATGTACTGTTCAATGTAAAATACACACAGAATTTAGAATACTTAGTACAAAAAAAAGGAGTGTAAAGTATTCCATTAATTACTTTTCATGTTGATTACATGTTGTAAAAAATGTTCTAGATTTATTTGGATTAAATACGAGTATATTATTTACCATCACGCTCGCTTGTTTCCTTTTACCTTTTTGAATGTGGCTACTAGAAAATTTACATTTACAAATGTGGATTGCATTTCATTTCTCCTGGAGGGCAGTACATTGGCCCCTTGCTGTGAGGAGCAAAGGTCAGTGGTACTCAGGACCCCACCTGGTTCCTTGTTTGTGGGTGGAAGTCACATCGGCCCCTTGCACACATGGACTGATGTTTGTTTTCACAATTTCACCACAATTGACTCAAAACATCAAATTATTGTTTATTTCAAACCTTTGCAAAATAATTGTATAACATTTCATCCTCACAGAATACCTGAGTGAATATGCAAGTAATATAAATATTTTAAGTAAATATCGATGAATGGAATTTATCAAGTAAGACTATACATGAATCAGATCTGAGACTCGAGATCAAATCCTTTACCATATCTGTACTGTTGTTTCTGCAAATACGACTTCCTCCAGAGAAAATGCTTTCTTTTCATGTTTGCCAAATTGATCCCTCAAGGACTGACTTACATTGTGGAAGCCCAGATATGTTGCATCACCCATGATATATCAACTGCAAACACACAATCCATTTTGCAAAGAGTATTACCCGGGGAATCCCAGTAACATCGGGTTATACCTGTTAAACCACACCCCTGTGTAAAATTTGTGAGCATCCTCAAGGAGTTTTCACTACATGGATGTTCAAGATTTGTCTGGGATAGTTGCAGTTCTTTTGATTAAGCATGATTCAGTTTTAGAATCACTCAAATCAGTTTCTATGCTGACAAGTCCATTCATTCGATAATGGCGCCCTGATGGCTTTCAATGACTGAACCCTCTGCCCTGGGCTGAGGCTAGTGTGAGCCATGGCAGGGGTGAAACAAACAGCCCCAGATCAGACTGGAACAGGCTATAATAGTTGCACACATTTTTAAAGAAGCTTCACAGAAATTCCATGTGGTGGGCTATTTCAGGTTATGTCTCCACCCGCATCCCTTTTATTCAAATTCACGGCCATTAGAGGTGTTTTAGAAGAAAGGTTTAAGAAAGGCTGGTTGGTCTATAGGAAAAGGTTCAAGCTCCTTATCATAGCTTACCAAAAGGCGGGCTTAACCAGGTCCCTCTTTGAACCTCACTATGGATTTTCCCCATGTTGCCCTGAAATAATGAGCAGTTTCTAGGCCTCGAGAGCCCATATGTCAAGCGCCTCTGTCTTTCCCACACTGTGTCCCACCTAGAAGGCCTTTCCTTGCTTCCCTTGACAGTCCAATAACTTGCACTCCTTCACGAGTACACTTAGGCAGCGCATCTCCCAGCATCCTCCTCTGGGTTCCTCTCTTCTCCCCTCCCAAGCTGTTTAGATTCTGTCCTCTGTGGATACTATTATCATTACATGCTGGGGGTGAAAACGGGTTCTACTGTGCCGTATTTCCTTCACTGGATATCTCATTCACTGTCCTAGAAAGGGCATTTTAAAGTGAACACTGGGACTTTCTCCCAGGAGCTCAATACCTCTCGAGAAGACGGAGAGATTCATCCAAATGGTGAGATTGCTGGACCTGACTCTTACAGGCCACATTGCCAAGGAGGCAGAATCACTTCCTTGAAAAGTCAATTTGGGCCATCTCTGGCTCTTTCTCTTGTAATACTGATCTTATGTACTCTCTGAAAGAAGAGCCAGTTAGCTCCTTTTTTACCTTTTCTTCCAAAGTAGTAAGCACATGTGGCAAGTCATACCCTTTGTGGGTGTGGCCCCAGGGTTGTCCAGTTCCTCTTTCAAAAATGGGTGGGGCAGTAGGACATCTCTGTGCACTCTGCAATATACCCATTGTCAGAAAGCACCAAATAAAACCGATAGCCCGTTTGGGGCTGGTGTTATCTATGTATGGGCTTAATTAATTAAAAGCCAAGGAAAAGGGAAACTATAACATCAGAAATATCACGTAGATTTAAATGATCAGTTAAGTTAGTTATACCGATTAGCCTGTAAACTTCCCAGAGGCAAAAACTGACCATATCTTTTTTATTTTTCTATTTCCATTGACCTAGAGTACTTGACAAATAAAAGCTGTTTACCTTTTTATTTGCTAGTTGTTTTTCTGATTATAGAAGCAATGCAATGTGATTTTAGAAACAAAACAAAAAACTAAAAACTAGGAACTAAGAAGTGATCCAATAAACCAAAGATTATACATTAACAAAATATAGACTTGTATACTTACTCTTTTTTACTATATGTGTATGCAAAAAGGAAATTATTTTATACATAATTTTGGTTTTTTTTAAAAATTGCTTTCACGGCTGGCCAAGTGGCTCAGTTGGTTAAGAGCTTGCTCAAAAGTGCGAGCTCTGAGCAACAGGGTCGCCGGTTCGATTTCTGGCCTCAGCTGAGCTGCTGCTGAGCTGCCAACAGGTGGCAGGATGGCTCAGCTAAAAAACAAAACAAAACAAAACAAAAACTGCTTTCACAACATTAAATATTCTTTTACAAGATGATTTTCATAGCTGCTTAGTATTCCATTGACAAATGAATAAAGAGTAGTCCACTGATAAATAATATGTTTTTATGTGCTTTGCCATTTGGTTTGCATGTGTTATTGAATTACATCTTCACAGCAACTCTGCGGCAGGGGTTCTCACAGATCCATTCACATGTGAAGGAACAGAAGCCGACGAAAATTAAACAGCTTGCCTAAGTCACACAGATACTAAGTGGCAAGAGCGGGCTTCAGTTATAGTGATTTAACACCAGAGCGACCAGAACTCTCAGAAGGATATTCTGTAATTTACTTAGCATATTTATTTCCATTGTTGGGCACTTCCATTTTGGCTCAATTGTTTCTCCCTCTAATTTCAAATCTAATACATGCATAAAACAGAAAATTTCAAAAACATAGAATAATACAAAGTAATAAAGCAAAACCCACTGATAATCCCGCCTTCCAGATATTACTATTTTTAACATTTTATTCTTTTTTCCAGTCTTTGGTATATATTTCAATCACTACATATACCATATGTAAGTAGCACTGTATATCCATATCTACACACATATATAGCTATAGTGAAGCATATATTTTACATTTTTGTTATCATAGAAGATTGTATAATACCATTGCTACATGTATAAACCTATACATATATGTTTCCTTTGCAGGTAATCAATTAATCAATTGTAGAAACCATTTTTTGGAGTTTAAGGAAAATATTGTACGTTTAAAACACAAAAGTGAAAGAAATCGCCAAGAGCTGATGAAAGCCTTGAACAGAATGAAGCATGATATTAGACAGAGAGAAAATCTATCAGTAAACTTAGGTTTGTGTTGCTTTTGTTTTTGTGTATGGTGGTTTATTTGTTTTATGTTTGGGAAGTTAGATTTTATGCTTTCTGATTTTAGGGAATTTCTCCCCAGTAAATATAACTAAGTTAACAGTTGTTCTTTTATTGCAAGACATGGAAAAATCAGCTAAGAGATATGCACTTAATCTCTCCTCTACCTGAAAAATGGCCTTCCTGTATTTTCTCTCTGTAAACTGCACCACTCTCCACGATCCATCCAGTAGAGACAGCCAGGAAGCTGAGCATCATCTCTGACTCCCATCTTTCCCTCCTGCATACTTCCCTGTCAATCAATAAGCAATCCGGGTGATTCATAATCCTATATTTCTCACAAAGCTTCCATAGTTTCCCATCACCATCTCTACTGCCCTAGTCAGGCCACTTTCATGCGTCGTCTGACTTGACCCCTAACATACTCCTATTTTCTCTCTTTCTTTCCAGTCTTCACCCATCCATCCTCACTGTAGCCAAAGTGAGGGTGACACTGTCTTGTTATCAACCTTTAGTAACTCCCCTTTTCTCCAGGATCAAAAGTCCTGCCATGTGCTTCCTGCTTTGTAGTCAAACACTACCCCCACTCTTAACCCTTGGTAGCCACTGATCAGCTCTCTGTTCCTATAGTTTTCCACTGTCCCAAATGCCACACAAATGAAATCATACAGTATGTAACCCTGTGAAACTGGCTTCTTTCTTCACACAGCACAGATTCATCTGCGTGATTATGTGGCCAATTTTCTGTTGCCTTTTTATTGCTGAGTAGCATTCCATTGTATGGATGTACAATGGATAGTTTGTTTCACCAACTGAGGGACATTTGGGTTGTTTCCAGGTTTTTGTTTTTGTTTTTTTTTGATGATCACAAATACCTGTTGTTATAAGCACTCGCATACAGGTTTTTCATTTGAAGAGAATTTTCACTTCTTTAGGATAAATTCCTAGGATTGATGGGCATATGGTAAGTGTATGTTTTACTCTATAGGAAACAACCAAACTGTTTTCCAGAATGGCTGTACCATTTTGCATTCCCTGCAGCAATTGTATGAGAGTTAGAGTCACTGCCATTTATTACAGCCATTCTAAATGCCATGGTATTGCATAGTTTTAAGTCGCTTTTCTCTAGTGTAATGGTGTTGAATATTTTTATGTGCTTATTAGCCATCCCTATATCTCCTTTGTGAAAGTCTGTTTCAATCTTTTGCACATTTTTTTAATTGGGTGGTTTGTTTTCTTGTTGAGTTTTGAGAGTTCTGTATATATCCTGGATACATGGCAGATGGATATGTGATTTGGAAATATTTGCTCCCAGCCTGTGGCTTGCCTTTTCATTCTCCTTATGGTATCCTTCCGAAAGCAAACATTTTTAATTTTGGTGAAGTCCAATTTATCGATTTTCCTTTTTATGTATTATGCTTTTGATGTTGTATCTAAGAACCCTTAGCTCAGAGTCATGAGGATTTTCTTTTATGTGTGATTTTTAAAAAAAATTTATAGTTTTAGGTTTTACATTTTAGGTCTATGAAGCTTTTGAGATGATTTTTATAAATGGTGTGAAGTATAAGTCAAGTATAAGTCATCTTTTTCCTGTGGATGTACAAGTATTCTAGCACCATTTGTCACAAAGGCTGTCCTTTCTGCATTAAACTGCCTTTGCACCCTTTTGAAAAGTCAATTGACCATATTTGTGTGGATCTACTTCTGGATTCTCTGTTCTGTTCCATTGGTCTATATATCTATTTTTTTCTGTGATACCACACTGCCTCGGTGACTGTATTATGTATTACAAGTTAAAATTGGGTAGTGTGAGTCCTCCACCTTGGTTCTTCTTTTTCAAAATTGTAGAGGCAAACTCAAATGAATGGTGCAAATGGAGTCATTACATACTGAGGGAGCTACAAATTAAAATTATAAGGATACAAACTTTAGTGATGTCATATTAATTCAAGTAGCAAATCAGATCAGTTATATCATGTTTCAGTTATACTTCCTTCAATTGAAACTGACAGTTTTATTACCTTATGGTTGTATAGCTCATAGTGCTAGACTTAAATACAGGAAGTCCTCACTTAACATCATTGATAGGTTCTGCAACTCTAAGTAAAATGTTACATAAGAAGAACAATTCTACCATGTGCTAGTTGATATAAACAAGAGTTAAGTTTCTACAGCATATCATCAACATTAACGAAAGGATGTTGAATGAAATCACATTATTCGAGGACCACTGTATTACTTTTTAAATAAATATGAATCAATAATCTTTGAGTTACATTTTATAGCCTTATGATTACATTTAATAGTATTACTCTTATATATAAATACTAAATTAATCTGCGGATTGATGTATTAGCCTCATTTAAAAAAAAATTGTACCAGAGAGAGAAAAATCCCTATAGTCATGAACTCAGAAACCTTATTTTTTTTGTGTCTGTCAGTTGAGAAGAAAGTGAATACATTGGATAAGAATGAAGCAGTATCTAATACATTTGAAGTCTTAAAGTTCTTTTTCCCTCATCTAAGGAAAGTAGGCAGAATTTATCCTGATGTAATCATCGGCAAAGAGAAAACAGGAGGTAAGAAAATTAGAATTGGAAAATCAAATACAGATATTTTGATCTTCGGGACATACTCTTAAGTTTTAAAATGTAATCCATTAAAATGATACTCAGTTTGATATTTAGACCACCAGCCTATCTGGTATTTATTTGGCTTACCGGAAATCAGTATATGGTCTGTGAGAAAAAATAGTTCAGTAAATATTTGGAGACTTGAATTCAAATTCAATTTTAAGAGATGCTTTTAAAATAAGTCAAATGTATGTTAAGCATCTGCTAAGTACTTGGTAGCTATTTTCTCCATTGGTTTTGATAAATCTATTCTCATCTGGTTATCTTCCTATTTCCCCATCTTTCAGAGACCAAGGTCAGCAAAAGGTTTACAGAAGAACTGACATTTGAGTTAAGACTTGAAGAATGAGTTTGAGCTCACCAGGTATAGAAGAAAGGAAAAGCATTTGAGTTAGAAGCAGGGACGTTAGGCCATCTCTCAGAAGGTTGCCATTCTCTCAAACCACTTCATCCCTCTCTGGGCCAGGGGTCAGCGAGCTGCAGCCCAAGGCTGAATCTGCCTGTTTTTAATTACAGTTTTGTTGCTCATCCTTATTTACTGTCTGTGGCTGCTGTCACACTTCAACACAGAGTTGGGCAGTTGTGACAGAGACAGTGTGTCCTGAGAGCCAAAAATGTTTACTGTCCGTTTATAGAAAAAGGTTGCCAACCTCTGCTCTAGGCAGTTCCTTGGGAATCAGGGGCGGTGGTCATGCCCCTGACAAGCCTGTTGTGTTGGGATGGGGGTGCCAGAACATACTAACATCAGCTAAGCCCTCACCATGTTCCATATACTGAGTTATATGTTTGCTTTCATGATCTCATGTACCCCTCACAAGCCAGGGCATCAGGGCCTATGACTGTCTCTATTTTACACCTGAGAAAATGGGGGTTTAGAAAGATTAAGGAACTATTGGAGATCACACTTGTAAAAGTCTTTAACTGCATCAGATTCCCTCTTTGGAGTATTTTGATTGTGGCGTATGAATATACACATACACATGCATACACATCAGTGTGAATGTGCAAGAAAGTGGAAGCTAGACAAAGCCAGAGTCTGCAGGAGGATGAGCTGAAAGACACAGAAAAAAAACCCCTGATACATAGCAACCAGAAAATGTTAGATACCAAGAGTAAGCACAGCTTTGGATAAACATGAACAAAGATAAGCAGAAGCCCATGCTATAGGATGAAAGGAAGGAGGGGGAGAGATGTTGGTAATAGAGGCCTTGAGATAACGCAGTTATCAGAGCTGTGTTACACCCTGAATAATCTTCCAATTCTGCAGCTATTTCCAGATTTCCAACCACACTGTATTACACATTGATCCTCTGGTGGCTTTTCTTAGCTTCTTGGAAGGATCACCTTGCATATAAACCATCACTACCAGACGTGATTTAAAGGGAGATTTTGTTTCTGGTAACAAAAAGATCCTAATACAGAAAACGTTTGTAAAAATACTCATGCCTGTAGGTAGTATAGCCTACTGGGGAATCCATCATCAGCCTCCTGTATTCCATATTGTGATTACATCTTAAATAATTTCTGCTCTCTACAGCCTCTCCGTAACTATTTTTTATTGAGCCCCTCATTTCTTGTGTGGTCTATTGAAATAGACTTGTAATTTTTCTATGGCTTTAGTTTTACTAAAGTCAGTTCATTCTTCACACTTTCCTCAGCGATACCTACTAGAATGCATAACTCATCCTGCTCAGCTCCTGCTTGGAGTCCTTCAGTAGGTCCTTAGTGCAAATAGGATGAAGTTGGCTCCTTGATAAGGTATATGCACAATAGGCTATAGCTTTCAAAACTCCATTTCTGCCCCTTCCCACCATCCTAGCAATCCCAACTACTTCTGGTCCCACCAAAAGGAAAAGTAATCAGCACATGCTGGTCACTGCTTGTAAGGAACACACCACTTCCTGTCAGCCCACAACTAGCTTGGCATGTAAGTCCCTCATCCAATATGACTTTGCAGCTTAACTAACAACTTCTTTGTGATGTCTTCCCTGTCCCCTGATTTAACAAGCTTCTACCCTGGGCTAGGCCCCGGGGATACAGTGAACAAGCCAGGGCCTCATCCTCACAGAGACAAATGAGAAAGCAATTGCAATATGAAGTGAACAGTGCTTTGATAAGGGAAACACAGAGGGGACAAGTAATATATACTCAGGGAATTAGGGAAAACTTTCTGGAGGAAGTGACATCTAAAAGTCATGACAGGTAAAAAGAATTGGGAATAGGCTGCATAGGAAAAAGGTAGGTGGTGGATGGATAGTGGAAAAGTAGAGGGTGATCGTCCAGATAGAGGAAAAGAAATACGAAAGGCCTAATGGCAAGAGGCCTGGAGAAGAAGTGTGGCTTGGGTGCATAGTAGGCGCTGGCAGCTATTGCCAATAAGACATGGGGCAGAGGCCACGTGATAAAGAGGATTGGCCATTTATTTATTCACCCCAAATTTATTGGCATTGCTGTGTGCCAGTCATTATATCGTGCTGGACTTATAATGGTGAGCGAGCAAGAAGCAGTGTCTGCCCTCACCAAGCTTGTATTCTAGTTCGGAAAACAAATGGGTAACAACAAAAAGGGAGATAAGTACTGCGATACGAGGTAAGAGTACATAGCTGTGCACTCAGCCTAACTTGGAAAGAATGAGTAGAAGGAACCAGGAATACAGTGTTGTTTTAGGCAACAAGGAATGGCACGTTCAAGGCCTGCAGATGGGAGAGTGCTATTTTGGTCAAGGCTTTGAGACTGGTTTGGAGAGAGGGTTGTTGAAACAGAAGAGGTAGGTTGGGGCCAGGTCCCTAAGGGCCCTGTAAACTTTTGTAACTGTATTCCTTATTCTAAGACACGGGAAGCCATCGCAGGAATTGCATTCAGGGTGGGTCCTGCAGCTCAAAGCTTGATTCCTGCCTCACCCATCCATAAAAATCACTTCCAGGTGGGTGATGGATTTAGCTATGAAAGGCAAACAATAAACAACAAAGGCAAACAATAAGTCTCCTGACTATCTTTATGACCTGAAGATAAGCAAAGATTTCTCAACAGCAATAAAAAAGCACAAACTATAAAGGAAATGATTGGTAAATGGGGCTCTATTAAGAATTTCTGTTCCTCAAGAGGTAAAACATTGAAATGGGAACCCAGCATGGAAGACGACATTCGTAACATACATAACTGACAGAGGGCTCATATTCAGAATCTATAAAGGGCATCAATAAACACACAAGAAAAATGCAGACAACTCAATAGAGAAATGGGCGAGAGCTTAAACAGGAGTTTCACAAAAGAATATCCAAAGGCCAATAAACATGAAAATATGTTCAAACTCACTACTAACCAGGGAAATACTGATTTTTACTGTTCTCACCGAAGTTCAAGTTTTCTGAAATAAGTGTTTCTCAGTTTGTTGTATCAGGGCCCTGATTGTTTTTGATAATCTTACTACTGCATTTTAGGGAGAGATTTTCTGAGTTCCTCACTTAGCCATTCTGGGAGCTTATCCCCATATTAAAGGTGGGTAAATTGAGGCTGGAGAGGCTGTGTATCTTGCCCAACCTCATAAACCAGGCACTGGTGTGATCAAGATTGACTTTGGGCAGATAGAACCTTATAGAACCTCACTGATAGAACCTTAATGCCTATTTAGGATGACAATGGCGTCTATTCTCCCCGCACTTCAGTCATTATTGGCAGTAAAAATCACTTAGGGACATGGATTCATTCCATCAAATCATTTGGAAATTACTTCACGCATTTTGTTCACAGATGAAAATATTTCATAGTATTTTTTTTGTTTGGGGTTCCAGCATCTCCATAGGAATAGTAGCAAATCAGCCAATATGTGATATTTCATACTCAGTTAGATGAACACTGTAATAAATGAAAAGTAGTTACTTTTCTTTTTCACTACACTGAAATCCTCCCCCATGAGAATATCTTGGTGTCTATTTGATGCACTTCCTAATGATCCACTGCAAGTTGGCACTTCCTCAAGCAGAAAATGAAATGTGTGCTAAAAATTCAGAGCAGTTGCGATTACTTCTGTGATACAGTTTCAAGCACACTTTTTATGACCATACAACTAAACCAAACATAGAAATAAGCATAGATATTAATGCGCAATTATGTGTTTCTCCATGGATTGAAATGGTGGTTCCATGCTCCTTTGTCTGCAGTTTCTCTTGCGCTGGGTATTTCCACTGTTTGGAGAGGAAATCATAGCTACCTGAAGCACACACTGACCTCCCTGGTCTCGAGGATGAGTCTTTCAGAGGAGAAGGACTCTGTAATGATTGTGTCCGTGGCAGACGTACGTATAAACGATAAGTACTCTCCTACTCCCAGCCTGCAGTCTCCAACCACCCTTCCTCCATGGCAATCACTGTATCATTTTGAATTTTTTCTTAAAAAAGTAATTCATAGAAGCCCTTTTGTTGTTGTTTTTTTTGGGATAGCAGACAATGTATTTAATACTTGTTTAACATCACTGAGAAGGAATTAAATATGTCAGTCTAAAAAGTTTATTTAAATATCATGGTTCCATATGGACAAATAAGATTGTACTGTTAAATAGGTTACTGGGAGCCCTGCATACTATATGGTACAGAAATTATATTTACAAACAGAACATTAAAATTAATGCTATAATTATAATAAAATCTGCCCAGCCCAATAAAAGGTTGATATTGAGTCGAGCTAATTTGCGACAACATGGATGGACCTTGAGAAGACCATGTTAAGCAAATAAGTCAGATGGAAAAAGTTGAGAACCTTAGGATTTTAGTCATATGTGGGATATAAAATGGAAAGCAACAAAATGAACAAGACAAACAAACAAAAACTCATAGACACAGACAATAGTATAGTGGTTACCAAGGGAAAGGACGGTGGGGGGAGGTAAAAAACGGTGAAGGGGGTCAAATACATGGTGACAGAGGAGATTTGACTTTGAGTGGTGAACATGCAATGCAATATGCAGATGATGTATTGTAGAATAGCACACTTGAAACCTACATAATTTTATTAACCAGTGTCACCCCAATGAATTTTATAAAATAAATCAAGATAATTTATATTAAGTAGAAATAACAAGTGTTCATTGAGGGACTCCTTCCTGTATCTGAAGGATTATGGACAATTTTTATATACATTATTTATAACCTGTATTACATCCCTGTAAAGTATGTTACACTACCTGATTTTACAGGTGAAGAAATGAGCTTAACAAACTTGCCCAGTAAGTAACTTGCCCAGTGATTCATAGAGCAGATTCAAACCTACCCCTGTCTCACGGCCCCAAAGTTTCTGTTTGGCTCCTACTGCCATGTACAACTATAAAATACTGTATAAATATCAACACTATAAGGCCTTTCGGAGGGGAATTTGGCAACATTTGTCAGATTTAAAATGTGTACGCGTATATCCTTTATCTCAGAAATCTCTGTTCTGGGAAGTTATCCTAAGGAGATAATCAGCAAAGAATTTGAAAACTATAAAAATACGGCAGAATAGCAAGGTAGTTGAAGAACACAGACTCTGGATCTAGATGGCCAAGGTTCAAATGCCAGTTTTTCCACCCCCATGGCTGTGAAATTGAACAAGTTACTTCTCTATGCTTCACTTTTCTTATCTGTAAAATAGTGATGATACTATTATCTTTGTTATAGGGTTGTTTTGGCAATTACATTACCTAATATATTTAAAGTATTTAGAATGATGTGTAGCATATAGTAAATGTTCAATAAGTAATTATTTCAAGGATTTTCAGTGCTATAAAAGCATAATATTTTAAACAACCAAAATATCTATCAGAGACTGATTAAATACTTATGTCTATATTGCAGTGATCTGTAACCACTGAAAGAATGAATATCATATTCACTGACATAAAACATTGTCCATATCATATTGTTCAGTGACAAAAGTTGTAAAGCATGTTTAACATGATATTACCTGTATAAAATATGATAGAAGGAAAGAAGGAAAAAAAAAGGATAGTACAGACAGATGAAACATATAAGGAAGAAAAGAGAATGAGCCTTGGAATGATAGTCTCCAAAATATAAATTTTGGATGTTTAGAGTTAGAGGGACCTTTGTTGTCCTTTTTTTATTCTCTTCTCAATTGTTTGATTTTTCTATAACATGTCTTTGAATGCCAAAAAAAAAAAAACTCTGAAAAAAAAAAAACAGGCAGTAAAAGATCTAATAGGAAAATATAAATAAAAGATTAAACAACCCTTCTTTCCAAATTTGCCTTCTTAATATTGGAAGCATATACATAATCTCCAAAATGTTTTGTCACTTGTTTCTGTTACATATTTCAATCTTTCTTTCTTTATTCTGCTGACAATGCACATCTGCCTAAAATGTTTAGACCAATAATAAAATACTGGGGAACATTTAAAAATGGAATATAGAATGCTTAAGAAGTGTAACTTTACTACTGTGTTGAAAATATATGTTTCAGAGTGTAACAAATAGCTGGCGATTCAATTTATGGCTATCTTAAGACCTGTAAGTACTATTAATAGAGTTATCTGCATCATTACTGATACTTTTAACAAACATGTATATTCAGAGTTGTCTTTCAGAATACTCAGGTTTGACACTAGAGCTGTCATTATTCAAAATATTTTCAGAATTTTATATTTGGAATATTTGTGGGGCCTGAGGCTATATCTTGAAAATACGGTTCTGTAAAAAAAAAAAAAAATCTGAGAGAATAAACCACCAAAGGCTATTTGCAAATGAGTCTGTCATCTAATATAGCAACAGTGTTCAGTGAAGAGTAGGTACACAAAGTTTGTTACTGGAAAGAAATTTGGAAATTAAGCTAAGTAACACTGTCTGGCAAAATGTGGAATAATTTCAAAGTAAGGTTATTGTCATATAATGCTCATAAAGTGAAGATGTTTTCAAAAAGAGAAGTTTTGTGAAATAAGCCATCCATTTTTAGGGCAAAACTACTTTAGATGCATAGTTTTTGTATGCTTCTAACTTTTAAGTGTAAATAATGTTTAGTGATATTTCAAATTGTGAGAAAAGGAGAATGAAATATTTTCAGTCTTCTGGGCAGATCTTTTAGACAGATGGCCAATTTAAATTTTTTTATATTGGGTAGTCAGAAAAGTCATGACGTATTTTTCTATGTTTTTCATTGCAAAAATGCGTCATGACTTTTTCGACAACCCAATAGAAAGTGAAAACAGTGTTAATGATTAAGACCTAATGACATTCCACACATAAACTAGATTTACACATAACAAACATGTATTGGTAAAACTATGAGGCATTTGTAGTTTCCGTAAAATATTTTTCTCATTTTTAGAGTCATGAAGATTATTTAAAGTCTGTTGTTGAAATGATTACAAAAAAGTAAGTACTGTCAGATAAATTTTTAATAGGCTATCCTTTTATTTTTCTATCCTTTATTTCTCTCTGATTATGTTATGAGTGATCATATGCTTTTTTTTTAAACTGAGCCATTCTGCCACCTGTTGGCAGCTCAGCGGCTGTTCAGCTTGGGCCAGGAATCAAACCACTTGCTCAGAGCTCAAACTCTTGAGTGAGCTCTTAACCAACTGAGCCACTCGGCCGGCCCTGATCATATGCTTTTAAATGGATAGCTATGCAGAAAGTCCCTGCAGTGCTCTCTGAGCTGTGATGAAGTCTAGCTTATAATTTTCCCCAATTTTTAAGTTATTTACCTATTAAAATCCATATTTTTCATGTTATTGTTATAATATCTGTTCCTCTGAAATCCATTGCCTCTGTGAGAAGCTCACTAGCTTATTTTAAAAATATTCTTGTGTTCCTTACTGTATGAAGTTACTTTCCTGTTGTGTGTGGAACATATTGATGAACCAATATTTATTGGAAGTTATTTATCAAGCAAGACGTTGTGTAATGGACCCAGCCATCCAAATCTTTGTGTTCAAGTGGGCGATGCAACTGGCAAAACATGAGAACATATAGAGTAGGAAGTATTTCACTTAACTGAAGATTATCAAAAGGGACTTTCTTGAACAAGCAACAACTGAGTTAAGTCTAAAGGTGTTTTTAAGTAGATATTCTTCAGGCAGACAGAAGGAAAAAGGGAGTGCCTGGCAAGGAGAGTTGCTTGAGAAGGCAGAAAGGCCAAAAAAGGGAGCATGCTAAACTTTTGGAAATATAAGTACAACCCAAAATATAGCATTTGTGTATTTTAATTTTTTGATATGTCTGTCTCTAATTTATAAAAGAAATGCTTTGGCTAAAAAGTATTAGTTTTGCGATGTTGATAAGTATCAACCTATGAAATAATTAAAATCAAAACATGATATGGACATGCATAAGGAAATTCTTTTAAGTATGTTATTTTGGTAAATCAAATATTCAATTACAAGCCTCCATGTACTTCTATTTGTAGGTTCAAAAGGCAACTGAATTCTGGATCCTTAGAGGTCATTTCGATACCAGCCTTTTTTTATCCAGACATGTCACATGCCAAGCAATCAACTAAGGACTCACAAAAATTAGAGAGGTATGATATTTAGAAAAGTGTATCCTTAAATAACTAACTTTATTTGATGAAATGTTGGAGTTAGCATCTAATAGATTCTATTTCAAACACAGCCAGCTCCTGTTGGCTTGTAAGAGCTGAGTATGTACATCACATTCCAACTTTGCTCAGTGACATCAATCAGTAGCATGAAATCAGGAGCATTTACACCACAGAAATGGGCCAAAGCTACATCAGAGCTCAACCCCTCTTCTCCACAGACAATTGTTAAGCATTTACCACTGGCACATTCTGAGTATTAAATTCATGTTTACAGACAATAATTAGCAAAAGCATAATGAAGGGAAAAAAGCCTAGGATTATAAATCATTACACCTGGACTCTAGTCCCAGTTTTTCTACTTCCTTATCATCCTAGGCAGGTAATTTAGCTGGGGGTTTTTTGTTTTTGTTTTTTTCTTATCTTCCCCAACTTTCCAGTGTGTATAATAAAATCTACATTACATATTTGGAAAAGTCATTGTGAGAATGAAATATGATAGGATTTATGGAAGAATTTTGAAAAATTAAAGTTCTCCATATATGAAGTATTATTATTGTCTGGTTATAAATGTGGTAGGTGTTACAAGAAATATAATAATTTGGTTCCTCAAAATTTAATAGAGCAAAAGACATGTCAGAATTCAGAAAAGGGTTTTATCCCAGGCAACGTATTAACTCAGTTTTGTTTTAAAATAATAACTGATATGCCTGAATCTGGAAATCTTTTAAGGGTTTTGTTTTGCTTTTCATTAATTACCCATATTATGTCCAGTTTTAGTGTCATAATGCTGGGAGTCACCCTAGATCCTTGTTTTTCCTTCTGCCCTTTATGTCTCTATTATCATTTCTCTTTTTCAACCTCCCCAGATCATCCCTCTCAGCCCCATTTCTCTGCCTTGGACTTGGTTCAGGCCGTCCCAGATCTATTTGCTTTCCTATTTCCTCCACTTCATTCTTCACACTGTAGGCAGAAGAATCCTTTCAGATGAGATCAAATCCAAAGTTTCCCACCTGTCATAAAAGATCCTTCATGACCTGGTCTCTGCCAGCCTTCCTGGTGGCTGTTGACGGTCTCTCCCTTCATCGCTTCTTCCCATCAGCTCTCTCCACCCTAAATCTAAGATGGCTGCTCTTTCACATGGTCCTTCCTTTCCTTCTGGGCCTTTGCAGCACTGTTCCTCTCCACGGGACGCCCTCCCTCCCTCTGCTCCACGCTCCCCGTCTCACTGTAGGTCATCATTGTCAATATCTTTATATAGCATTTACCTACCTGTACTTTTATTATTTTTCTATCTTTCATGCTAGATTATGAGACCCAGAAGGGCAAGAGCTGCTTTGTGTTTTGCGCTTTGTGTCTTCAGGACGTGGCCTAGTATTCACAGCTTACTATTAAATGAGAATAATGTGTCTTTATACTTTCATTTGAATAAGACCTAAGATAAGAAAGAACATTAACTTTATTCTATAAATCAAAATTTAACTAACCCAAATGTAACATTAAATAGGTTATGCTTATCCTAGTTTAGCAACTTCAGACACTGTCCACTGAATAAAGATGGGAAACTTTTTAGTATAAGCTTTTAGTATAACTTTTTAGAGTAACATCTTCAATTCTGCTTAATGTAGATAGTACTCTATGTTAGCAAAGTGTAAAAATAGTTTTTAATTACTGAAGTGTGCTTATAAATAAAAGTTAAATAATAATGACAAATATTAACAGGTTTTGTTACTTATCTCTAGTTGGCGAATCAAACAAGTATTGGATTTTTGTTTTTTGATGCTGTATGCCCAACCCAAGGCCATGTATTATTTACAGGTATGACCTTGGTGTAAATATAAAGTGGAGGTAGTGTGTTCTCCTTTGATTCCTCCCTCCCTCATTGTATTCCTCCACCTTACTTCATACTCAGAAAATACTCATAATGTTAGAATGCCAAAGGAAGCTTAAAATTGATTAAATATTAGTCTTCTTGCTGCGGTCACTATTAACAGAGGAAATTGTAGTTACCTGAAGTAAGCTGAAAAGAACTTCTAAAATTAAAAAAAAAACAGGGGGGGAATTACACTGCCTACGTTTCTCTGCCCACAAGTTTATTAGGTTAAGCACACATAATCTAAGCACTTACTATATGTCCAGTAGCGTATATGCTCATCACTGCTACCTTAACTGCCTCACATTTTATGAGTAACGCAGTTCTACAGTGCCTATATTGTATTTGTGATATAAATCACATACAGTTTATACCCCCTAAATTTCTGCATATTGTTAAATAACAATGTTATATTTCTCAATAGTAAGTATATATTTTACTACATAAGACAATGCACAGTTGTGAGAAGAGTTTGAAGAATGTCATTGGAGAATAGAGAGAGTTAGAAAAAGGCCTGAAGCAAGGTCTTCTTCTTTTACTGGAAGAAAATAAAAACTCTTTCAATTCCTAGTTAGTGATGATGTAATTGAAACATGAGTTCCAGTCAATGTATGCTTCCCAGCTTGAAACAATGCAATTCTATTGTATTTTGTGCTCGGGTAATATGCCCGAGAGAACTTCCACATTCTTCCAAATCATTTAGTCTATAGATTATGCACAATATACATGAAATTAAAAAAGAAAATTATAGTTTCCCATTCCTCCTCACTGTTATGGAGAACTATTTGGGACTTGCTGGCACCATCATTCTAACCAGCCAGGTGTGGGTGAGAGTGCCAGTCCCTTTTGTCATCTTGGCAACCACAATATATAGTGATAGACTATGGCACCTATATCATCTCAGCATAAAGCTAGTCAGTCTTAAACTAGAAACTGAAGTATTTGTGAGGATGAAAATGGATTCAGATAAATAAACCCTTCCAAAGAAGATTTAGATTGAATGTTACATATTAGGAAAGAAACATCATCTCTGGTCTTAGAGTCAGAAAATGAAAATTGACTAACAGTAAATACCCTCAGTGAACTGAATTAAAAAGGAACTTATTACCACATAAAAGCATTTTTCAGTGTCATCTATTGAAAGTATTTTCAATTTCAAGCTAATATAACTGAATTTGAAGCATAAAAGGTACTGATGCTTTTTTGGTTGTTGTTTTTTTTCAGCTACAAGATGATATCATAGCTAAAAAGATGTACTTTAAAAAAATCACAGATTTTGTACATAATATCACTTCAAATGATTGGTTTTATATTGAGTTTTCAATTCTTGGATTCATAGGTAAGCAATTGATCTATACGGTGGTCAAGCTTTTTAACACAGTAATCTTACAAGTTCTTAAGAGCTTATCAAAGAGTTTGTTACTAAATGGAAAGAAATAACATGATTTCTATAAAGATACTATTTAGTAGTAAAATTAAATTCAAGGATCTGATTTACAGAAAATGTATTTTTAAACCAAATTTTCTTTCTAGACAGATAATATAAATAAGCAGACTGACATATATACACATTTGTTATAAAAACATAAGATAGCCACCCCTTGTTTAAATGCTTGCTATGAGTCTGGCACACATGTTAGTTCAGTGACTAAGATGTACTTCTATTTTACATAGAAAACACTGAATCGCAAAGAAAAACAGTGTAGAGAGAGAAATTTTAACTTAGGACTATTGTACTCTGAAGTTCCTGCAATTTCCAGTATTCCAAAGCTTACATACTATAAAAAAATACTAAAATATATGAATTATACCCACAACAGAAAAGTTCCTAAAATTGTGTTCATGTTGAGATTATTATTTTTACAATCCTTCTAATAGACTTTTCTTCCTTTCCATTCTTCCCTCCCTTCCCTCCATCCCTTTTTCTTTTATTTGACTCCCAAGGCAGCAAATTGAATTACTGCATTCTTTTCGTAGTTTATGTCCTCCTCGTTTCGTGCAGGATCCTTCTCTTATTTTATTCTTTTGTTTTATGCCCAATCCCTGCTCCCACTTCCTGCCACTCCCCTCCACAGGTTTCACTCTAATATATCTAAAGTATACATATAAATACACAAATATCCATGTAAAATATTTAGTGCTTATCATGTGTGTACCTATTTAAATTTTATACACATGCTGATGTGATCAGCCTATTCCTGTTCCTTACATTTTTGTCCTCAAAACTAGATTTTAAAACTGTTAGCATGTTGCTTTATGTTCATTTAGTTCATTGTTTCTCACTGCTGCATATGTGCTACACAGCAATCCATTGACTCATTTCTTCCCGGAGTGGTGGACTTTGATGGCTTGCTTTGCAACTGTCTGCTGCCACAAAGACATTAAGTGATCAATGTGTCCTCTGGAGCGGGATCACTGAGGGCAAATATATTAACAGCTGCAGGGTGTCTGCTGCGGATTGGCTGTACAGTTCATACTCCCATAAGCCCTGCATGTGACTTCCTGCTTCCCCATATGCCTGATAACACTTGATTTTATCCATTAAGATTTATTATTTTTATTTTATTTTATTTATTTATTTTTGACATTGGGAGGAATGTAAAGCATGTCTCTGGTTGCTAGTAAAGTACATCTATTTTTTTATATACTTACTTGACCACTTTCTTTCCCAAACTTTCTGTAAATTGGTGTGGAATCCATTTTTGAGGCCCTGAAGTTTTTTATTCAGCTATGGTTAAAATAAGAAGAAAAATTAGAGGTAACAGTAACACCTGATGAAAAGCTTGGAGAGGAAATAATTTTGTTGATATATTACCTTGAGAATTAAAAACAAATTTTTTTTTTAATTTTAAATTCTTTTGAAGAGGAATAAGAATATTCACATTCTGACCATAGAGTACATTGAACATAATAACGGTTCTGTTATTCAATATTTACCAAAAATATGAGCTTTCTAGTTATTTATTTATTTATTTTAAATATGAGCTTTTAAAATAGAATTTTACATCATGTGGATAGCAGATAAGGAAACCATAAATATTAAATCAACTATTTCCATCATTAAATCACTTACTATAAATGGGTGCCAAATAATTCAAATGCAATTATACATTTCATAAAGTGACCCATTTAGACCACTGAAAAAAATGAAGCATGCTTACATTCTACTATTTTGCTTATTAAATGGTTACATGTGTTTTACATTATTTATTTTAAAGTGAATATTTACCTGAATCTTATATCTTCAACTTCATTTTAAAATTAAAGATGCAATATATTGGAAAAAAATAGCTGTATATAATAAAATCTTACTTTAAAATATAGCAAATCTTTAAGAATCATAAATGTAAAAGAAAAATAAGTCTAATAAAATAATGCTCAAATATTGAAATAATACTGTATTTTTATCAAAATTAAATACCCAAAATATATTGATAAAGTTCTACAAAACTCAGGTTACAAATCACAGTTTCTGGAAAATTAATTAAAAGATTACAGCTCCTATAGTTTCATTTTATTTACACACCTTTCACTTGATTTAGGCAATTGATTCCTATTAGTTATCAACATTGATTTCCTGAGAGTATTCACTATTTTAAACCTGCTTCATGCTTCCCCCTGCCCAGAAGTGGTAATCTTTAATACTTAAGCAGATATATTATTTTGCTTTATTATCTTCCAACTTCATGAGTGCTTTAAACTTTTTTTCTAAAGAATAGGATATATTTAATTTTTAATAATTTTTTGCTCTTTTCTCATGCTAGTGGAATGAACAGCTAAATATATAAGGTTTATGTTATGATATATAGTATAAATGCTCAAGAGTTATTTGATTTGTGTACTTTTCTCTATAGGAAAGCTATTTAAATCTGAAGACTTAACTGACTTCATACGTTTTCTTTTAATGTTCTACAAAGATAAACCCATAGACTTGCTCTTGGAGGACATTTTTCGGGTAAAGATGTGTAACCCAGGAGAAACTTTTGTAAGTATTTGTTTACATTGTAAATAGCAAATATGTTAGGAAAATACTCTCTGTTTAATGTAATTACCTAAAACTTGTTTACCAAACTGATGAGTGTATCAATTTTTAAACTTCCCATATCCTAAATTTTTACTGACACTTAAATCTACTAAATGAAGTCATAAGAAGCAAAAACTGTAGTGAAAATTGGAAACAACAGGGCACAAGACAGTGAAAAAAAACAGGAAAAAAACCCACAATAAAACAGTAGACATAAATCCAAACATGTCATTATTTACATCAAATACAAGTGGCCAAAATATGCCAATTAGGAGACAGTTCATCAGAATGGATTAAAAAACACTATGCAATTACTTGCTGTCTATACTCAGTTCAAATATAATGCTATAGATAAAAGTAAAAGATGGAAGAAGATATACCATTCAGACACTAATCAAAGGAAACCTGTAGTAGCTATATTAATGTCAAAGTAGACTTCAGAGCAGGAAAAAAAAACACAAATTGACCAGGAGTCAAGAAAGATACTATATACTGATAAAAGGGTCAAATCACCAAGATGACAGAACAATCCTAAAAGTGTATGCATCTCACAACGAACCTCAAAATACATGAAGCAAAAGATGACAGAACTGGAAGGAGGAATAGATTAGTCTACATGTCTGTACTGAGTAGAAATGCATTTAAATAGTCCTGCTATTTTTAAAATTATATATATAAATTTGAGATGTATTTTAATGAATTTTCTATGAATAGTTTATAAAATAATTTTCAGATGGTGATCATAATAATTTCAAATGCTTGTTTTTAATAGTAGTGGTGTCACAGGTCATCTTATCTTCATTTTTAAGATTATCCAAATCTTTTTCCATTAAGTATAATATTGGCTCTTTGTTTTACTCACATACTTTCTACTATATAAGAAGAAATTGAGGAGCATGTAGTTTATTGTAAGAATTAAAGGAATAATTAATATGGAAAGAGAAAGAATAATGTGTCTGAGAAATGGATAGATAGGAAAATACTAAAAACTTCATTTATGTTATTGGAGTAGAGAGAAAGGAGAGGAAAATTATGCAGTAGTCCCCCTTATCCGTGGTTTTGATTTCCCCAGTTTCATTAATCAGAGGTCAACTAACTGCAGTGTAAAAATATTAAATGGAAAATGCCAAAAATAAACACTTCATAAGTTTTAAGTTATGCGCTGTTCTGGGTAGTGTGATGAAATCTCATTTATTTTGACTTTCATCCATCCCAGAACATGAGTCACCCCTTTGTCCAGTATCTCCCCATTGTATAAGCCACCCACTGTATACTAAGTATAAGCCGCTCACTTAGTAGCCCTCTTGGTTATCAGACCAGCTGTCACAGTATTGTAGTGCTTGTGTTCATGTAATCCTTATTTTACTTAATAATGCACATTCAAATAACTTTTCCTACAGTTTATTGTTATAATTGTTCTATTATATTGGGTTGTCAGAAAAGTCATGACGCATTTTTGCAACGAAAAACAAAAAATACGTCATGAGTATTCCAACAACCCAATAGTTATTGTTGTTAATCTCTTTCTGTGCCTACTTTATAAATTAAACTTTATCATAGGTATGTATGTATAGGAAAAACATAGTATATATAGGGTTCAGTACTACCCACGGCTTTAGGCAACCATGGGAGGACTTGGAACATAGCTCGTGCAAATGGGGGACTACTGTAATTTAGTATCTCAGCTCTTTTGTTCTATTAGTCTTATGAAGAAAAAGCTAAGGATGAAATATTTTGTTTAAATTTAAAAATGTTAATATGGAACTCTGGCAAAGACTAACATGATAAAAAAATTTTGCTCAGTAAATACAATAAAAAAGAGTATTTGGGTTTTAACTGAAGATTGTTGTTTCTCTTACTTTTTCCCCAGGAGAAGTGTGCAGAGCGAAACAAGCAAATTCGTATTAAATATAAACCTTCTCTTTTCCAGCATGTGGGTATATAGTCATCATTTCCTGTAACAGAACAGTATTACAAAGTAAGATTCTGAAATGCAACTTGAGCAATAAGCAATGTTTCACGAACTTATATTATTTAGAAAAGGAGTGATAGGAGCATGGGAGAGACTGTATGATGTGGTTGTTTAAACACAGTCCGTCTTATGCCAGAACTATATGTTATAAAGACCAATCACCTTTCTAAGACCCAAGTATCTCATGGTTAGAAAAAGCCTACATACACTGTTTTGCCTGACTGTTCTCAGCTGTGCAATTCAAATAATAAGACTAAAAAGGTGTTTTGAAAATCATAACAAAATTCATTGTTTTATTATTTTTATTTAATATTCAAAACTATGCAAGATTGTTTCAAAAAATAAAGCGGCTCTATTATTGAATTCAGATGTATTTTTCATTCTTATTTCAGACCACTATTTACCAGATGAACAAAAATTCAGCATTATTTGGTTTTTAGCTGTGCTTTAATTTTCCATTATTTTTGGAAACAGTATTATTTATAATTGACCGAGTACCTTGGTGTGTGGTAAAGAAGCAAAGCCTTCAGAGTCAAACCCCTAGTTTGCACAGGATATTAGGCAAGCCCTACCACTTCTCTCTGCTTTCTTGGTCTATAAAACGAGGAGTTTAAATTAGATGATCCTTAAGATTTCTTCCACCTTTGAAATGTTATTGACATCTCTACTCTTAGTTTCTTCACACAGGAAAACAAATGCTTTCATATTTTGTCAGTTGAAATAAGAGAAATGCACATCTGCGTCCTCCCATCATTTCATCCATTATTTATGACCTGCCCACTTTCCAGCTTCTCTACCTCTGTGTGTTTATTATACTGATTCTCTCAAACAATGCCTGGAACATAGTGAGAACAAGACAAGTGTATGGAATAATGAAAATTTCACTGTTATAAATCTTTATGCAAAAAGTAATACCATCAAAATACATGAATCGTAGCCACAGACGATGCAGAAATTGATCTATACCATTCTATTTCTTGGTGCTATTAATATTTTAATGGGATTTTTTTCTATTATATATATTTTTTTGCTGGATAAGGTATTTTAGCCTTACCTTTGTAAATTCACTACAGATTAAGTAGAATGTACATCTAATCACTCACTTTTTGATGTTATAATCTTAGCTTTTTTCCTTAATATACTCCATACCACATAAAATAGATAGAAATAAATGACAATCTTACACTATGTCAAATGTGATTATATTTAAGTTATTTTTACAATTTCTAACAGGATATCCATTATTAGGAGTTTCATAATTCTAAAATATTTAAAAATGATCAGAATCATTCTTTGGAAAAAATGGCATAACAAGGATTAGCTTATTTCTCAATCTTCTTCATAATGGATAAGAGACTACATCATTTTTTTTTAATTTAAGCATTCAGCAATAAAATGGTAAGTATAAAATTGATATAAATACATAGAAAATGATCAGATATTAGTTAATCTTATTTTATATCCTTATGTTCTGTGTATTTTTTACTTTTATACATATAACTTTCTGATACATTAATATTTTGTTTTAGAAGAACCAATTAATATTTCCCTTTTCCTTTCATCATGTACTGTAGATGTACAATGAATTTGGAGACAGTAGATCTGAGTTTGAAGCCTCATTCTTGTCAATAAATATAATATTGATGAATCTCTAACATATTATACTAAAGGAAAAAAGCCAGATGCAAAAGACTACATACTATATGATTCTATTTGTATGAAATTCTAGCAAAGGCAGATCCTGGTATCTCATAATGATTTTAATTTGCGTTTAACGGCCAATGATGTTGAGCACACACATATGTGTATATATATACACATATATGTATATATAAATATAATGAAATATATATATTTATGAAATATATGTGTCAATTTAAATATTTGCCCACTTTAAAAATTGGATTGTTCGCCTTTTTCATTTGAATTGTGATATTCCTGTATATAGCCTGACCACAAGTCTCGGCTATGGCTGGCCCTTTCATTTTCTTAACAATGTCTGCTTGTTTATTTTTATCTTTGTCATGTTATGTGCTTTCTTAAATATTTAGTGATTCATGGTTGTCTGCTGAATTTTAATGAGCTTATACAAAATGTTAATGTTGGTCAGTTTTGAATGGTGGCAATATGGGTAAATTTTCTTGCCCTCTCCTGTCCCCACACTGCACTTATCCACATATTTTTTAATAAAAATGTAAGGAATGAGGGAGGCTTGCTGGGAGGTTTTGGTACATGGGTAGAATTTCTTTTTTTTTTTTTAATATTTTTATTGGGGAATTGGGGAATGGGAACAGTGCTGGGGAATTGGGGGAAGGGGAACAGAGAAGTTGCTGTCGTTTTTTTGTTGTTGTTGTTGTTCTTCAATCTAGTTGTGGAGGATGTTGCTTCACTGGCCCAAGTTGGCACCATCATTGCGCTCATCTCTGGCGAGGCAGATCAGTCGCCGGCTTCTGGACGGCCGCTCACTGCGGCTGCTGGCCGCTCACGCTGGCTGCTGGCTACATACGGTAGCACATGACAACCCACTGCCACAGGGACTGCAGCCTACGCCGCCGCCGGCGACTCATGGCAGCCCAGCTCCAGGTTGAGCTGTTGTTCAGCATCTTAGCTGTGGAGGGCAGTGTCACTGGCCCTCATATGTGGGATCCGAACCAGGGCCCTCTGGCATCCCAAGCGAGTTCTTAACCATCGCGCCACTCGTCCGGCCCATGGGTAGAATTTCTTGGTTTGCAAATTATATTTTAGAGTATATGGGTGGCTAGGTTGCAATTGTTTTGTGCTTTGTGTGTGTGTGTGTGTGTGTGTGTGTGTGTGTTTTCCCTAGTGGTTTGAGAGATGGGGCACCAACATGCCAGAATAGAGAGCTTTGTTCTGGGCACTGGTGCGCTCTACCTATATCCAGATGGCTCACTCAGCTTTCGTTAGAGAAGAGTGTGTGTGTGTGTGTGTGTGTGTGTGTGTGTGTGTGTGTGTGTGTGTGTTTATGTTGCCTGCCATAAAGCTGAGGCAGGTGTGGGTTGGGGGTACTCCTGACACAGTCTCTTATTTCATTCTTCAGTGTTAGCCCCAGTGCAGCTCCCATCTTCCATAAAATCTGCCATCTCCATTGCAGCCCCCCATCCCATGTGTCTAGGTCATATCATGGATTCCTCATCTCCATTCTGTCAGTCCCCATTCTTCCATTAGGTTTATATCACACATAAAATTGTCTCCTAGGCCAAGAGCCCCCTTCCATTCTTTACATTGTTTGGAGTTACACTTTTTATTATTCATTTACTGTCATTTTAGTGAGGTCTGGCCATCCACCACCTTGAACCAAGAGTTTGGATGTCTCATTTCAATTTTTTTTAGTTTTTAATTTTATTAAGTAAAATAAGGTTTATATATATATACTTCAGAGAGATTAATGTTCATCCACTTTTCCTTAATATTCATTCAAGTCTTTTAAAAAAATCTCTATGTAAAATTTGTTCCTTAGCCAGTTAGATTATATATTATACTTTTCATAAAGCTTTTTTAATGTAAGATAAATTATAGTTTATTAAGCAGAAAAAAATTAGCTTATCTCTATTCCTCTAGCTTGTTGTGCAAAAATAATTAATAAAACAAAAATTCATCTTACTGATAAATTTCCTTAGTTTCTAAAATTTTAAAAATTTGCCTATGTTTTCAACTTGAATGTTCTTTATTATTTCATATTCTACATCTATAATAAACAAAAAATTCTTTTTGAAACAACTAAAATATTTCAGTATTAATAATTCCTGAAAACTCAAAATATAATAAAATTCCATTAGCTGATAAGCAAGAGAATAGTGTGTTTTTGTATAATTTGTTCATGCCTCATCCTACATGAAAAGTCATTTTCCTTTTACTGCAGTGCACTGGGCATAGCATGGAGTATTTCGATTGTTGGAGGTAAGGTTGCCGGATAAAATAAAGGACGCCCAATTAACTTTGAATTAGTTAAATAATGACTTTTTGTGTGCATATGGCCCATTTGTTTTGTTGTTCCTGAATACCATGAGCCTAGTTGGAGGGAGTAGAAGGCTACTTCCCATCAAAACACTTTAACTGAAAATAATTTAAGTTTAGGCCCTTGACTTTTATTAAAGAATGATAATGCAGAATGTTTGCATTTTCTTCAAAGCTGTTATTTAATGTTTTATGTATCTTTTATGTAAAGATACATGTTACAATTGTCTCTTAGAATTTGGAGTCCCAAAAAGATATTCTTTGCCAAAGAATTGTCATGATTCCCTTAATCCTTTGTGTGTTTGTTTTTTCCTTTTGACTAACAAAAAATTCAAAACTGATTTTATATGAAATGTAGTGCCCATATTATCTTATATTCACAGCATAGTTTTTCCAGTCCCCATTTTATATTTAATCTTTTAATTTTCATTCATATATTATTGTTAAAAGATTATTGTGTTTTCATGTTGTTACCCTAAATCTTTTCTCTATGTACTTGTATTTTAAATTATAAAAAATAAAACAAAATGAATGTTTTAAATATTTGTATCTTATCTAAAAGTTTGTTGGCTGTAATGACAGTCCAACAATACGGATTTCCCAGGTATCCCAGTGGAAGTAATCCACTTTCAATAATATTAACATGTGACAATATTAAAACTGACATTGCCTCATACATCTTAAGAATTATATCTTTTGCCAATATAACGTTATCTTCATATCAAGAAATTGTCACAAAAATAATCCTCGTGAATTAATACTTTATTTCTATATTTTACAGATTTATTATTTTTATTTGAGAAAATATGAAGCTAATAGCCATAACAAGAAGAAACTCTGTAATACCTTGGAAATTCAGGTAGCCAGGCATCTTTCAGAAATTGTCATAATGAAAATATATAATTACATAGAAAAGGAGAAAACAATGAACAAACTATTGGACTTGAAAGCATTAAACTACCTCTTATGTTAAGAAAAAAATAGAATATTTATGGTGTTTGTATCCTTACTACTATAATTTAATATAAAAACAGTAAAGATATGGAAGTTTTTAAAAATTAAGTAATTATTTTGTTGACTTGGATAGCAATGCTATCATATAATCTCAATAAACAGCTAAAAGTTCAGAAACTTGATATTGTCATGAACAAGTTCTGTGTGAATTGGCATATGCTCTTATCCATTTTGTTAAGACACCTAAAGAAATAGAAAGCACAAGTTTAAAAAGCCTGCATCTGGAAGTGCCATAATATCTTCTTGTCTTTTAAATAAATGCATTTAAAACTATAAACTTACCCCTAAATGCCATTCAAGTTGATTACCAAACATCTTGTTATGTGTGTGTTCTGATACTCAGTCCTAAAGATTTCATACTTTCTCTCATTATTGCCTTCTTAACTCATGGGTTATTTGGGAGTGTGTCTGGGTTTGTTTGTTTTTTCTTTTTTTAATATATTGGTTTTGCCATCTTTTCTTGTTGATCACTCAGTTACATTTTTGTTGGAGAACTTTGTGTAATAAAATTTGAGAATTGTTATGAATTCTTATGTTTCATACGAATTTGAAAAGAATGTATAGTCTCTGTATTCTCCCCTTAAAATACATTGCATTTATTGGTTTTTATAAATGTTAGTTTTATGCTTTAAAAATGTCTCCTTAAAATATTCCTATTTACTGGGTGCAGGGTTCTCTTATATCAGGCTTTTAAATTTACTCGTTCAAGTCTTTTAAATCATTACTAATTTTTGTCTGCCTGATCCATTAGTTTCTTATAGGAGTCTATTAAGATCTTTCTTTTTGTTATTCTGTTGAGTTTTAGTTTATTTATTTTGAGAAATAGTAATAGATATTTCCTCTTATCCTTCATCAAGTATGAAAATCTTAATTCATATTGCTGTGTAATCTTTGAGAACCAAAAATTCACACATTTACGTCAGTATGAACTGTATCACATACCAATATATGAAGAGTACATGAAAGATGAACTGTTCAAATGTGTCCATTTCATTCTCTCCTTGTAGAGGAAAAGAAGCTATATGTCAGCTATATCTCAGTGAAGATGGTTGGGTTAAAAAGAAAAAAAGATACATGTATGTTACAAAAATTTTTAATTTGACTTAAGTTTTGAACTTTTAAAATTAAATCTGCCAGAACATATTCCAGGCTAATATGAAAACTTAAAACAAAGCCCAGGTACAGCATTTTTCAAAAAGATGGCAATGTTCCTAGAAGAGGTGCTTACTTGGACTTTTTTAGCCCACCATCCGAGAACTGAACAAAATACCTGAAAGGTTGGGACCAGAAACTGGAACAGCATTGAAGGACGCTGTCCCACTGAATGTTACTGAAAAGCTGAGACGATTCCAAGGGAGTGTTGCTTTGGCACTCAGACAGGCATTTGAACTCTGATCGAGATACCAGAGTGGCAGATGCTAGGAGGAAAAGAGAAGGTAAAAGACAGCCTTAAAGATTTAACCCATGCCCCCCCACACCGCCCGCCCGCTTCCATCCCCATCCCTACTGCTCCCAAATGCTGAGTGTTTGGAGAATCTCACTCACTCCATGGTCTCTGGTCTGAGGTGTATGAGAAGGGGGAAATTTGGAGAACCTTGGATACGCATCTGGGATATAGCAGAGCAAACGGTACTTCTGGGTTGGTTTGGGCATCTGTTGAGATTTTGCTCTTTAAAAATCAGTTTTCTTCAAACATACATCTGAAGGCAAATGATGTATTTAAGCCCCTGACTCAATACAGCAGGTTAAATTTGTGGCAAACACATTCAAAACAGATTTACTGAAATCTTTTTTTTCTTAAACTCTATTTTTCAAGTGAATAGCTCTGCAAATGTTAATAAGTGAAATTCTCTGTGTTGCCAACGTGTCTCTCAAGTATTGAGATAAGCCACCAACATCTGCACTATTTACTACTGAAGTAAATAGTAATATGATAATACTAGTAGCAGTCGTAGTAGTAATAGTAAATGTGGCTATGCTCATGGGTAGAGAGGAAAGAGATACTCCACTAACAAAAGTGTGGAAAAATGTCTTGGGGTTTGCTGTGTGTCTTAATATGGACCTTCCACCCTCTGGCAAAATTGCAACAATTATGAACAAATAATGAGAGCTAAATCTGGGCAGGCATTTTCCCAAGAAACCATCTTCTTATGGTGTTTTTTTTCCTTAATTACCTTGGCATACATTTTTAAATGCTGTGTTGATAATAATAGTCAGTCAAAGGCAATGAATTATGAGGAAGTTTATATGAGCTGATAGGTTTTTATTTTGCTGATATTTGTTTTCTTTCTAAAAACTGGGTAAAATGAGTGATTTCTTAGGAAAATACAGGTTACCAAAATTTATGTGAGAGACAGAAAGCTTAAACCAATCAATATTCATAGAAAAAAGAACGTTTTTGAAAAATAACAAAAAAAAGCACAAAGAGGCCCCAGGCCTAGATGATTTTACAGGGAAATTCAACTAAATTTTAGAAACCAGGTAGTCCCAATATCTTAAAATTGTTTTAGAATATAGCAAACAATGGAAAAATTTTGAATTCTGTTAATGATGTTTAACATGTATACCTAATCCTGATAATGATAGCACAAAAAAGAAAACCACAGACCTATCTCATTTATGATGATTCATGCAAAAATCCTAAATGCAATATTAGTAGATTCCCAAAGCACATTAAGAAAACAACACACCATGACCTGATTTTTATGCCAGAGGTGCAAGAATCAGGTTAGGATTCTGTAAGGAAATTTGTTAATAGGACATACAATACTAATAGGACTAAGGAGAAAAATCATAGGATTACCTCCACAGATGCTGAAAAAGCCTTTGAAAAAAACTCAACACCTGTTTTCTATGAAAACGTTAAAAATTGCAATGACTGGATACTTCCTTAACATGATAAAATTAAGATTGCCAGAAAAAAATACACATATGAAAAAAATGTATGTACTAAAAACTTATCTGAAATTAGAATCTCATTGGGTGTCCTGTATTTTAATTTGCTAAATCTGGCAATCAGATAAAACATACATACTTCAATCCTAAAGATGGTTCTAATCTAACGGGGGAAACACTAGAGGCATTTGCACTAGGTCAGGAACAAGGCAAGAATTCTTAGTTTTCGGCTTCTTCATTGCAAACTTTGAAAGGATCCTTCAGAAATACTTTCCAGCAAGTCAGTGTATTGGTTATGGGCTACAGAATTATGTTGAATAATAAAAGTTGGAAAGAAGGATGAAAGAATGAAGGGGATAATGTTACAAAGTACCTCAGATAAAATTTGCCTTTTTTTTTAACCAATAAACACTATCCAAACACATTCCAGATGGAGACAGCATCAGAAGTCTAGAGATGGTGGCCTTATTACTGATGCAGTGTGAAAAATGTTCAGTGATCTTGACGTCTAGCCAATAATTATATATTGTGCATGGATCACCATCAAGCTCTTAATCTGAGACTCTAATAGGTAGTATCACAAGTCAATTAAATATTTTACTCTTCCAGTAAAATTGAATCGTGATTATACCAAATTCAAAGTCAAGACTTGCTATAAAATGTAAGTACAGTAGAAGCTGTATGATCCAACATCTCGGGGGCAAAAAAGCTTCTGATTCAATAGTGCATTTATGCTGTATGTTTATTTTTAGTGTGTTGCTTAAAACGACAGGTTCTGAAACAGCCCTGGATCTGAACCCTATCTCCACATTTACTAGTCAAAGGCTCTGGCAAGTAATTCTCTTCAGTTTCTTTACCTGGACTGTGGTTAAATGAAATAAGGAATGCAAAACCCCTCAGAGCACAGTGAGCACAATAAATGTTAGCAATTCTTATAGTATTTTGGAAAGAAACATATATAATGTGTTTATGTTAAGATTTAAAACATCTGTATCACGCACATCCACACGAAATAGGAAACCTCCCTGCTGACCACAGTGACCTCTCAGGTCAACATATAGAACTCTAGCAAAACCCTGGGCACTAACGGTACGCTGTGCCAAAACGTGATTTACATAAAATTCAGGACCCGATTATGTGCAATAGGAGGCAGAACCCCACTGTTTGCAGAGCGGGCAGGCGATCGGCAGGAAGAAAAGTCCTGGAAAGACTAAGGAGGAACGAACTCCTCCCCGCCAACCCTGGAGCCGGGCCCACCGTACCAGGGCCGGTCGAGGCGGCGCGGCGCGAGGGAGAACGGGCGCCTCCCGGCGGGCACCCGCGGCTGTGACGCCGGCGCGCGGAGCGGCGCCCCTCCGCGGCCGTTGAGCCCCTCCGAGCAGGTGCGCGAGGCTCGCGCCGCGGGCCGCCGCACGCGCATGCGCGGTTAGGAGTCGCTGCTGGGCGGCCGCGGGCGGGATTGGTCTGGGGAGTCGCGGGGACTTGGTGGCAGTGACTCGGACACCAGAGCTGCCACTGCCGAAAACAGGCCCGCAAGACAGGTGCGTGGGCAGTAGGCCGCTTCCCGGCTGCCCTTTGCGCTCGGCCTGGGGTGAGGGACCGGAGTCATTGCTCCTTCCCCCAAGGCGGGGGTTCCTGGCCGCACCCCTTTCTCTGGCGACTCGCCACGCTGAACAGGTTGGGGCCAGGTGAGGGGGGCGGGTGTTGAGTTCGGGGATGGAGGTGCCGCGAGCAAGCTCTTGACGGGGCTCTCCCGGCCTCGGGAGTAGGAAGGCCAGCCTCCCGCGGCGGGAGTTGACGCCACCTCGGGTCCGTTGGCTTCTCCGGGACACCTGCGCCCACCTGCTGCCCTGGGGGTCGGAAGGGCGAGGGGAAGCCAGGTGCCCCCCCCAGCGCAGGCTGCCCCTGAGGGCTGGGGGGCCCGCGGGAGCCGAGTCCGTTACTCCAGCGGTTACCATTTCAGCCCGTTCCACGCCCGAGCCCCGCGGCGCGCTCCCGAGGCACCGGTGCAGGGGAGGTTGGGGGTGCGGCGCGACGCCGCGCGTCCCACCGGCCGCTTCTCACAAGAACAAAATAGGCTTTTGACGCACTCCCCTCCTCCGCCTCTGCGAAGGCGAAGGGACCCAGCCCTCACAGCGGCGGCGGCCTGTGTCTCCTGGCCACCCCCCCCAGGTGTGATGCCTGGAGCCCGGGCGTGCGCCGCTGGGGACGGAGCGAGAGGCTTGGGTTAGATGCAGCGAAGCCCTAATGGCTCGAGACTCATTATCGCCGAGAGTGTTTATGAGCAGACACTTCAGCGGATTTTATTTATAGCATCTCCCCAAGCAACAAGGAGGAGGCATTAGTTTGGGATTTAAAAGCAAATGGCAACAAAGCTCAGAAAGGGGGGAGAGAAAGTAACTCGAATGGCCATGGGGAGAAGTCTCAGAAGAGTTAATTTATATTGAAACTTTCTGATGCTTAAAAAGCCACCAAAACCCGGTCTAACCTTAAGATTTTTGCTTGCTTTAAAAGTTTTACATCACTCTAGGTCGTTTAGTCACTCTGGGTAGCCCTCCTTCCTTTGGTGATTATAACTTTGACCCTTTTCTCAGTTTAGAGTTTTGCCTTCACGTCTAATTGGGTCACTGTTCCAATCACATTTTGACCTTATCCCCAAATTCTTAGAACAAGGTGTTTTATATTCTTTGTCTAGTTAATAAAGTCAATTATAGTGTGTGAATGATGTATGTCGATGGATCGGTAGAAATTGAACACTGCTGTAAATTAGCCATACTGCTTATTTTCGGTGCCTAATGAGTTTTAGTGCTCTGAAATAGAGAGCTAGAATTGTCAGCTTTAGTGGCCCGTTAGATCATCGAGTTTAATCCTTTCACTTCACAAATGATAAAACGGGCCTAGAGTAATTTTAATCCCTTACCTTTTTAAAAATAGACCTAGAAACTTGGTGCCATGTGCCAAATTCAGTGTATTTCTGTAATACTATATCATTCTGTAGTTTATTTCCTGAAATTGCATGACAACTGAAACTTTAAATAATAGTAATTTTCAAACACTGTTTTTGAGGCATACCGGTAGTCCCCAGTCAACCATTAAAACTGAGTAGCAGAAAGGCATCTCAGTTATAAGAAATGGCACATAGAAAAGCATGAATGTGTGAAATAGGTGATTATTGAAGAGAGTGAAAGAAATGAGTCTTAAAGGGGCAGAATTTATGCTGAGAGTTTCAGAGAACTACTGAACATTTTTTTTAAGCAGGTAGTGAGTTAAGACTTGTTTTTTTTTTTTTTAGAAAACTCATGCTAGAGAGAAGGGGAAGGTTAGATTTAGAGATTGGCAAGACTGGAATTGAAGAGGCAAAGTGGAAGTTTACTTGGCAAGACTAGAATTGAAGAAGTGGGAGTTTACTAATCCTTTTCAGAAAGGATGGGTCCCTAAATTAATGGTGTGGCATGGGGATAGAAAGAGACATTTAAGAAATGCCCAAGGGCCGGCCGAGTGGCGCGTTGGTTAAGAACT